GCAGTTAGCAGATTCGTGACCGAACCCCTGGCAGCGGTGGCATTGTGCGGGACCACCTTTTCCAAGCCAGGCCTCTATGGTGATGCCTGGCATGTTCAGCACCTCTGTGACATCGTAGAGGCGCTTTAGCTCGTCTTTATTGAGGTGGTCGAGTTTGAGGTGGTAGAGTGTTCCCGGCCTCGACCTCTTGGGCATTATCGCCCTTGAGTAAGTAGCCGGGAACCCTATTTTCCTAAAATACTCGACCATCTCGTCTGGTGGTGTGTCCCTTGGGAGGCCTCTGATCCCTACCTTTGTTGGTACCTCTTCTGGCGGAGCGTAGCAGTACCACACAACAGTGGGGTCCTTTTGGCTACACTCGACGAGGTAGCGCTGGATTACCCGGTATTCCGCGGCATTCTCCGGGGTAAAACGCACTCCCTTGCCGAGCGGCCTGGCGTTTGGGGCGTGTCCTAGCTGCCCTTTGAGGACAGAAAAGTGTTTTGTCCATTGTGGTAGGCACTCTACCACAATGGGCGGGTATTTTGCGCCCCTTCTCCTCGGCAAGTTGAGGTGGCGCTTGATTGGTCCCCTGTGTTGTAGAGGACCGTCGGCGTGGTGATGGTGGAGCCGAAGCCGCGTTAGCGTACGTCGGCGGTGCTGTTTGAGCAGTTGAGGGGCCGGGTTGGGGCTCCTCGGAGTCCATTTCAACCTCATTCCCTTCGGTTTGTTGATCACCATTTGATGGTCCAGGCGTCAGCTCTATCACGTCGTTGGTGTGAGTAGGGACATCCTGCCTCTTATCCCTGTTTAAGGCTGAGTCGTCTAATTTGGGACGCTTATCGTCCTGGGTTGGCGACTCAGGGAATGTGGGTGGACGGGGTGTTTTCGTCCTTTGTGGTATTAGCGGTGCTGCCAACAGTTCCCCACTTACGGAAGCAATTTGGGCGGGCTCTGCGGCCTTGGAGGGCGCGCTACCCTTTGATTGGGGTGGTTGGATCTGCGAGGGCAGAATCCTAGTTATTTCATTAGTGAAAATATTCCTTTCGACAAGGATTTTCACTTGTGGTTTGGCTCGCCTAGCTTTGGCGGTGGTAGCGGCTTTTTTGCCGCGACCCATTGTGGTGTGTTTATGCAGTGTGCATCTATAACAGGTGTTTTAGAGCACACCGAAGATTTGCTTATACGCACTCTTTCTGCGCGTGTCTATTGGGCTGCTCCCGCACCGCACCCCACCGGGGGACGCCTGGAGGGAAATCCACCGATGAGGCCGGCTGTATCGGATATAACCACAATAGACAGCGGGTGGAGTGATTTGGCTGTTTTAGGCTACTGAGGTAGCCCTACCTCACCACTGGACCCTTTTTTATTAAAAAGGGCGACCAAGTAGCAAGCAGCTACGCGGTTGAACTTGGTTGAGCGCTGAAACGACAGAAAGCCAAGAACGAACAGCGAAAGAGGAACGAAGTGTCCTAGGCGACTCGACGCGGAACGGAGCAATGCTCGACGCTCGGCGGAGTTCGCTTCGGAAGGCTTAGGCTGTGCACAACCCTACTGCAGATGCAATGAAGGCGTACAACAACGTTTACCACTCACTTGATCCTCTGTGCTAGGGCCACGCAACAAGTCCGTCCGGGTTAGTACCATGACCTCACAGAAGACCGGCTAACAGTGGGAGTATTATACTTTCGCGTTTCGTCTGGTGAGTGAGGTAGCCGGAGCCCAATTTTCAAAAGGTTGTCAACGCATCTGTAACCCTCGGGTGTAGCAGATGTCCATGGGCGGCGGTATTCACTTAACATCAGGTGAACCGTTTGCTCACTCGGCAACTTTTCACATAAAAAAAAATCTTTAAGCGGTATGCAGGAAAAAGAAAACTTTAAATTCTTTTTTCGGAGGCAAAAAAAGTTTACCGTGGAGGAGGTACGCCCACAACAGTGAAGTCGCGGGATCTCTTCATATCAGGTCCACAAAACGCGCAAGTAAACGGTGTCCCGTTTCAACACCCTTTTCATCGCGATTCTGCTTACCCAATCTGAAGGGCCAAGGGCCAACAGTTTCTCCTTACGCATGGGATTTCTTTGGGATTCGCGCCTTCAGTGATTTTGTCACTGCTGGAGTCCTTACAGTTCGACCACTTTTTCTGTCTGCCGCACTTGTATTTTCATTATATCGTTTCCTGGAGCGTCAAACGAATCTTTTGTTCACTTATATTCAAATTTTTCAGTGGTTCGTAAATTGGATTTTTGAAAAATTGGATGCAACGTAATTAAGAATAAATGAAATTCGACTTAGTGCACATTTTTTCCAGTGTGCGTAACACGTAAGACATCTTTGACCGAGTTACATATAGGCTTGTAATGTTTTCATCCATTCGATAAAAACTTAGGTTTATTTGTCCACAATTAAGATTTAGATTCACCTTAGAAACACAAATATAATATGCCTAAGGTCTACATAATAAAATTATATATTTGTTCAAATACTAAATGATTGGAGAGAAAATTAATTATACAAACTGTCAGTATAAGGATCACATTAAGTCATCTAACGCCTCAAAAGAACAGAAATTAAAAATAAAACGATAAATCTAGTAATTTCCAAGGTCTTTTGTGTTTAGGTTTGTTTCCGAAATTCATCAATTTACCCCCATATTCGCTACCCGTTAAGTTTCATTATAGCGGTTTAATTGACGCGACTCAGCTTTCCAGGTCAACAAAGAACATTGAGTACTTTAGACAACTCGTGGAACTCCGCTGAGAAAATGTCGTAGCTTTCGTCCAAATATTGTTTCGTGTTATTATTATATGCAATACCTGCATATAGTATACCGAGTTTAATATATTTTAAAAGCTCTTCTGTGATCTTAATATTCAGTTCTGTGACTTGTGTATTTAATTTGTGTATTTTATATGTTTAATTACGGTTATGCTGTCGTCTTATTACAGTGGAATCTGTTAAGGTATGTAGGTACATGATGAGTGGCATAACACAATTGATGAAGTCGCGACAAGTTTGCATTGAAACATTTTTTATATATCATAGAAACTATCACTTATAGTGCAATTAGTACAATATCCTTCTATTATACTATCCGATTATTTAATATACCTATATATATTTTTATTTTTTACAAAATCAATTGTGGTCGCTTAAAATTGTTTAAAAGTAGGACTAGCACAAACAATTCCAAATTTTTTTTGTATAATACGTTCAATTTGCTACACGTGTGTATCTATAATTTACGAACGAAGATCGACATCAGTGAACTAAAAAATGTTTCAATCGAAAGCAGCCTCTCATATAAAAATATCAACACGTTCGTTTATAACTTCGAAGTCATTTTATTTATAAATAATTTTAATTGGAATAACAATAACGCAGGTACAACTATCACGGTCACGTACAATGTCAAACGACTGCTATAGGTAGTAGATATATCCAACGTGGCTCGTTCATTATGTTATCATGTCACAACAACTTCACAATACGAATGAGATAAGGCCCAGGTCATTAAGCCGAAGGCTCCCGGATTTTAGAAAACTTCAAGACTCGAAGCAACAAACAAGCTCATATCTCATTTAAAAATTGGCTTGTTTTTTATATTATTATTTATTTGGAACCGGCTGGTACTTGCGGTTTTCTCTTAGATACGGAATAAACACAGGTTCGTTTTTTTTCTATGTTCGAATTTCTTCGATGGTCCCTTTTTGTTTTTTTTTTACTAGAGAAGCGAAATTAATGTACATAGCATCTCTAATATCCATCTTGTAAAACTGACGTTGTATGTTTATGTTTTTGACGCACTTAACGCCTGTGGAGTCCCGTATCTGTGACCAATAGGTACTATCAATTTGGTTACGAATCCTTCGTATTTAGCAGCGATCACGGCAGCAGCGTCACATTTTTTGTCATAACAATGGGTACGTACTTGGGAAAATCGATTGTTTTTATGATAAATTATCTATATATTAATACTAGCGGCCCGGCAATAAAATATTTACTTATTTATTTATTTCTCATCGTTTAAACCTTCCCTGGATTGCCACAAATCTTTCAAAACCAAAATTAGCCAAATCGGTCCAGCCGTTCTCGAGTTTTAGCGAAACTGACGAACAGAAATTCATTTATATAAATATTTTAAGAGCCTACGTTTATAAACAGTCACTTTACATAGAATGATGAAAAATATTTAAAGTCAATTAGACGCTTACATCTTGTTAATTGCATCTTGCACTAGTAATGATGTGTGCGTTAACTTTGATCTGACATTGAAAATAAACTTGGTGGCCGCTTATTGTGAGGTCACGAACCAGATAGTTGCGTCTAATCCCGCGCTAAACGCATGAACGTTAGTACACGTTCTCTGTAAATTATGGGATGTATTGTAAATGAAGAACTTTGTAACACTTTGTTTTGCGTGTAAAAATATAGTTTGTATTTTCGGCATTTTGGACATTCCTAGCAGACATACACAACATAGGAATACCATTAAAAACCTTTGTGACTTGAAAGGAATTACACTTTTTAAACATTACCTGTATATGTATTGACATTTGTTTCTTCAAAAAAGTTATCTAAAATTAAATATCTAATTAGCAAAAATGGTTCGCGGGTCTTTACAAATTCTTCTAGCAATTGCGATCTTAAATTGCCTTTTGTACCTATCTCTTAAAAAAATTTTTACACAATTTCTTTGTAGTTGTACAAAGAAGAAAGTAGTTGTACAACATCAGGCGCAGTACCTACTGCTTCTTTTATCTACAACTAATTGTCATCAATGTCGTCTCTTTTCAAAACCATGTCACTGTTGAACGCTTTAGGCGCGAATTTAAGTCATAATGCTGTGCGCCGTACGGGTTTTTGTGGAGTAAAGTATAAAGCGAGTGCTGCTATCTAGTAGCCTCAAAATGAAGCAATATGTACTCTTTTCGCGATATACGTATTTTACTTGAGCCCCTCGCCAATAGATGGCGCGTATATTGATTTTTTTATATTTAATTTTTTTTTTTTTTTTTCAGGTGTTAGTGGAATATGACGGTGTAGACTGGCAACGAAGAGAGTGGGTGGTGGTACATTCACGTAAAACTTTTCGAGCGTTTTTGGTGGAAAGAACTTTAGTGTGGGCTCCCAAAAAGCACGAAAACGAGGAAGTTAAATGGCCCGCTCTGGTGAGTTATATGGTCATGTCAATCACTTGAATGTTATATGGTCTTATAATTTTATAGTTAATCGCAAGATGGCGCTATTTTAAGTTAAATTTAAACACAATCTGCTACGCTTTTTTTTACGATAGATGGCGCAAACAATAGTTTTCCTACTTAAATTTATCATGATTCCGAACAGTAGATGGCGTTAGAAGTTTCGTATGAAAATGATATCGCCAATATATTTTCTACTTTTTGGATTTTTATTTCCACATACAGTTAGTCATTTGCTCTTGATTCGGTTTCTTTGTTAAATAATTATTTGTTCTCGAAATTGGCTAATTATAATTAAAAATTGTCTCTTTGGTTAGTCCTCCTAATAGTAATTTATAATCGTTAAAGTGTCTATTATTTGTTTTTATTAAGAATTTTTATTTTGCTAAATAATAATTCAGATATATTTGTGTGTTAAAATACGGCGCTATAATTCACAATTTAGATTTTGATGTGATTTGATTGATTGAGAGAGATGATGACTCGTAATAATGGGTCGTGGATTCGATTCCCAACAACAAAAAGGGGACAACACTATTTGTGTGACCCACAAATAGTTGTTTCGCTTCTGGGGGTTTGCCCGCGTGATATGTATGTTTGTAAAACGTCCTTACAACACAGGATCACCTTACACAGGGCAATGTTTTAAATAAAAAAAACGAAATAAAAAAAGATTTTTATATATATTTATTTTGCGCACCACAGGTTGTGTAATGTACAATGCGTTTTATTTAATCTATTAATGTAATTTTTATTTAGTGATCATCGCTCTCGTAGAAAATGTTTACTAATTGTATGTCAACATCGTGAATGTATAGGGAATGGAGATATTCCCAAAATATTCCAATTAAATAATTTTAATGATGTAGCATATTATCAGTTAAATTTTGGTTAAAGTTGTCATAACCAGTTGAAAAACAACCGTAGTTATTTCTTAAATATCTAGTACAAAAAAATTTTAATAGATTATATGTTATGAACATTCTCATACTTATTTACATGCAATATTTGAATTAAAAATATTGTATTAATTTTTCTATGCAATTGAGTATATTTTTAAAGTGTTTCATTTTCGTGAGGTTCCTTGGTGATTTCATTCAATTTATATCATGTGGAGTGTTTTTTGTTACTTTGAGATACCATTCCAAAATTATTTTAATTTAAATTCCTTGAAAAAACACTTTTGTTCAGTAACATTACACGTTTTTTTAACACTAAGACTAATGAAATACATCAATTCTATTGATATTAAAGTGATAAGGCACGTCGTAATATATGTATTTGTTAATAAATTAATTAATAAACCTATGTATGTTGAAATATATATAAATAAAAAAATATATACCTATTCGATTTTTTTTAAACATAGTACCCGATTGTTAATGAATATTTAGATAGATGAACCATGTTTTTATGTTCTAAAAGTACATTTACATTCATACTATTTTCTACCTTGCATTTGAATTCCTGTTTTCTTTATTCGAGTAACTTGTTTTTAATTTTCTGGCCTAATAAAGGGCGGACTTTTTTTTATAAAGAAACAATTTGAAAACAAAAAATTATTTATAACGAACATTCAAGAACAAACGAAGAACTAACGGTATGTGAAATTGAAAATTAAAAATTAGAAAAAAAATTTTGATCGCCCAAATTTCATGAGGCCCATAGCAAAATTAGTCTTCTTATGCTATTTGAAATATATTTGCAACATATACTTTTTAATTCTATATGATTTAGCTACAAATAACCTCTCCGGACATTTAAGTTAATAAGAGAATTATTATAGTAAAAGAAAAAAACAGTTGCAGCCCGCAGAAAAAAACAGGCGCCCTGACATCATTTAAAACCCGCATAACTTTGCGATCGAATGAGTAAACAAGTAGGTACTACTTTGACTTTGAAATAGACGAAGAACATGTGTAAATGATTTGTATTTAGAGCGTCAGCCACATATTGTAGCGATGAAATTATTTACCTTATTCACGTGTCTGGCGAGCTCTGACGGATGCGAATTTGCGTTTAGCATGCGACTCACGTTTCACATTGTTTACCGTGAACGCAGTACCTACACACTGTGGGATAGTTGTGTAGGAATATTAATAGTTATCAATTCAGGGTAGGTAGCGGTATACGTTAAATATTTGTTTTAGATATATGAATTGAAATATTTTCGCTATCGCGCGATAGATAGAGATCGCAGTCACACTAGTCTTTGATGCTACATGCATAATGGCAGGTAACTAAAATAAGTATGGAAAAAAAAAAAGGAAGTATACGAATTGCAGATGTATCTTCCTCTATAATTACTGTTTTCTTTTGATTTCACCAATTAAAAGATTGAAAAATAAAGTGTAATAAATGTTTGTTACTACTACACTTTAATTATCGCTCACGTAAGTAAAACATCACGCTAAATCCGTAACATTCAACTTTAGGTTGCGTAACGCATTCGTGGAATCGTTCTTACTTCTTCTGTTTCTGATTCACGCGTTCCTATTCACCTATTCTCGACCGCACCAGGAATAACGAATGCGACCGCGCTCACCGGACCGGACGGTCTCGTGAAAGGTGACTTTCATGGGTGTTATTCAACTCGTGTCCACGTCGAATAATGATGAGCGGACGATGAATGGCGCCCGCGGACGTGGCCCGACGTGTGACAGTCGATATCGCTGTCCGCGCTAGCAAGTATTAGGATATCGCTGCCAATTTCAGATGATGCAAAAAAAAATATGCTGTGCTGCATCAGTGTTCTCACAATGACTTCGATGTAGCGCATTTCAAAGTATAGAAATGAGATGGTCACAATGGGTTTGACATATCCAAAATAAGGATAAAAACCCGTAGTATCAATAAAACTAAGAACTCTTAAACGGGCGCGCGTAATTGTCACGGAAGTGTTTTGCTTATATAAATATCAAAGTTAAATTAATTTTAGTCACAGATGTTTTTAATAAAAAATTATTGGAAATTATTGTGTTTACGCGAACACTAAACATTAAAGGGACGGACCGATACCGCGACCAATAATCGCGCATGGTATTTAAAAAATCAATCCTTGAAAATAGTTTAATTTAAACAAAGTTTTATGCCATATCGCTTATCTAGTTTATGTGTAAAATCTTAATGTAATTAACTTTATGTTGATGATGTGATAAAATAGTCTCAACTTGCGATAAAATTTTGATAAAATAAATATTATTGTAGTTTATATAAAGTATGTTATTTTATCTCGACAGAAACAGTAAAATGTGATTTAAAAAAAATGAATAATTCTGAGAAAAAGTTGATTCTATTAAAAGTCCGAGAGAAGAATTCAACTCGAGCACATTACGTATTCAAGAAGCTATTAAAGTTATGTGCAGCGTGGTGAGTCGCCATAATTAAGCGGTTCGTTTCTCACGGCGCGATTAGATTTCGAGTCGTTTTTGCAAACAGCCACCGTCTGCCCAAAATCATCTCGACACCAACGCGAAATAACAGACTAGTTAGTCAATTTTCTTTTAAAATGTTTAACGAAAGAGGGAGAGGTATATTATTTATTCATTTTTCATTATTAACACCATACAAACATTACATCGAATCAGGGAATAGACGTAAGAAGAGGCGATTTTGAAAACTGTAATGAAAGTGTTAAACATCAATAAACATATAAAAAATAGCAAAATATAAATCTGTACTGGTAGCGCATGCAATCTCGGCCGATTAAGAAATGACATCGCAATTTATCTCGTAATTTACACAACATTTCACTCGACGAAAACAAGGTCAAAGGAGAATTATCACTCCCGCATCAAGTGTGGACGTGAAGGTTGCGAGAGCCATTACGGATGTCACGACATTCCATTATAACGAATCGGAAAGGTCCCGAAATTCGACAGTCATATATTCTTCGACAAATATATTAGTTTTCGTTACATCTGACAAAACTGGTCGTTTCGTGTCTTATGTTTATAGTTAAATTCTGATACTGATAATGAGTACACATTCTTACAAATACGTGAATTATTTTCTTTGAATATGGATGATGTTTGAAGTTATGAGACATATTATTTGATTTTTCTTTGGTTAGTAGTTTAACTTTGGCATTATTACAGTTAGCTACTATTTACAATTATTTTCGTTTCTAATTATGTATGTCATGTTTTATTCAAATACAATATATTCTTAGTAAGAAATTTATGTATTTACATGTATTTTACATGCATTCTGCACTTTACTGTATGGAAAATGATTAAAAAAAGTGACTGTTTAGAAAGTCCTGTTTGAAAGCCGGTTGGCTTTCAAACAGGACTTTTAAGAACAGTGTGCCGTGTGGTTATAGTAAGCATGCAACTATCAAACATCGCAGCTCCAAAATATTTTGTTCTCGATCGTTGATTTTCGTGGCTTTTGGTGACAAATTATAGACAGGTTTATTTGTTCTCAGACCTTCTGCCCACTCTCTGCCGATGTGACGCTCTCAACGGACACTCAACCCGTGGAGTTTCTTCACGACCGCACACTCCAATTCCTGGACTATGGCAACCTCGAACCCTATCAGGCGAGTACAAACAAATGCTATCGTTCTCGCCACGTACATAATAATTTTTAGAATGGTCAAAAAGTGTTGGATCTAATTTGAACTTTTTGAATTGGTTCAATATGCATACTGTAAGTATAAGCAAAAATGATTATGACAATAATCAAGGCTTAAATAACTTAAACAATAATAATAAAATATCATTTTGAATGGTTCATGGTTGTCCTGCTATTTCGCAATAGATGGCGCTAGTAGTAGCAAACTATTCAGAAAAACGATTCTACGGTTGACTACCTAATTATAATTTATTGTTTTACTATTTCCCTCTTATAGTAATAAAAAAAAATTTAAAGTCATTCGAAATATTTACCACAGTTTTAAGCATTTATATCATATGGCATATTTATACAGGAAGACTTTTTTATGTTTGTTTCGATTATTCTTATTTTATTATTGTATACATAATTCAACAACTAATTACGTTGTACACGTACAAATATAATAATATAATATGACACTTCAAACATAGCCTTTATACAATAAAATCAAGGCCGAATTCAAATCTTAAATTTTATTTCAACCATATTAAATTTAAGATGAATCATTTAGACAGATGTTACCAAAACAGTGGATTCCATATTATATAAATGACACATTTAATGATGGCAGTACACATATGTTCGCCACGTTATCGCCATATTTTCATTAGGTCACATTAATTACTATGAAGTTATTCAGAAGACTATTCCATCATGTTGCCAAAATATAAAGACAAACATCGATAAATCCATAGTTTTCATTCATTACCCACCACCACTAAAGCTCTTTTTGGTTTACTTAATTAACGATCAGCATAGTTATATACAAAATCCAATACTATATAAAACATAGGCTGCTTTAAAACAAATCCTGCTCAGTTTAAACTTTAAACCACACTCGCAGATTTAATTTATCGTAGATTATGTTAATGACGATCGACTTTCACCTGTGAGTATTGAAGTTGACGTTACGCATGATAAGTAAAAGCTTTCTATACTAAATCCCTAAATAAGGCTGCGCAGACTAAAGTATAGAACTATAACGTCATATATCAAAAGAACGTTCGTAGGTCTCAGATAAATTTACCGTAATTTAAGACGTTATATCTGATAAAAGTAAAACGTAATGACTACTTACAATGTATTTATTTACAAAGTACTCAAGGTACCCTTATATATATATATAAGAACTTGATCACAATATGACTAAAGATTTCCAACATTCCTAACCAAAATCGATTCAATCTAACTAAAATTTATCCTTGCCCACACAATGATTCATCATAGTTCAAGTTATCGATTTCTATCAATGAACGCGGTGTAATAAAAAGTGATTAGAATTCAACTCACCTACGCATATTCGTACGCATATTTTATTACATTCGACCGTGACTAAGTAACGTTTTATTGCGGTCGAGATTTATTTCGTGAGATAAGACCGTGTCGTTAAATTGTTTACAAACAAAAACGAGGGGACTATGTTCCGTTCTACGGACGTACAGCTACATAATTATGTGTGCATTGAAAGTTTTTTTTATCATCGCTCAAAACTGTTTCGTTAAAACGATGCAACTTAACAAAAGTTAGTTAAAGTAAAAGTATTCACGCTTTTTCGATTCGTCCGATGGGGTAAATTGAATCCCACACTTTCAGCGGTATTCATTATTACGAGCTACAGGATTAAATGATGATTACAATGTAGTATCAGCCTATTTATGTCCCACTGCTGGGCAAAGGCCTCCTCTGTACAGAGGGTATCAGGGCATAGCCCACGCGGCCCACTGCGGTTTGGCGGACTTCACATATGTTCGAATTTTTTTTGTTAATTATTTCGAAAATATGCAGGTTTCCTCGCGATATTTTCCTTCATCGCTGAGCACGTCATAATTCAGTACTTAAAATTAACAATTTCATTGGTGACAGCACCGGGGATCGAAATCGGGTTTCTCGAGTAGATTGAATAAAAGGCGAGCGCCGGGATACTGAGCTATCACAGCTTATATAATGTAAATTTAATTAAACCCGTTTAATTTCCAAACTGAAATCTATTCAAATCGACCAAATGTTGGATTGTTGAATGAATTGAGGGACCAAGCAGCCGCTTCCACTGTCGCACGCTTCGGCAGCTTCGTCCGGTGAGTGCGGTAATCGTGTCTTTACTTTTTAAGGGTTTGCAACGTATCTGCAATCACTCAGGTGTTAAATATGTACACGGGGCGGCGGTAATCACTTAACTTAGGTAGCGGTAACGGTAGATTGTTCGCTTTCTAACTCGTCGTATAAAAACATATGAATATATGCCATTAACAAATGCCTTCACTTTTCCCTTACCATTAGTTAAAAAGCATCCTCAGTTTTCAGCGGTTAGCCATAATAAAAATATCATGTTTGGTTTCGAAACTTAATCATTTCAAGCGTTTCAACTCGAACGAATGTTGGACTAAAAAATGATAGAGTTACTTAATAAAATGCATGTATGCAAATATTTATTGCAATCCGGTTACAAGAAACAAAACACCCGCGGTTGGTACAATCTTGAATGACGTCATTTTCTAATTACCATGACAATGAAAATTACTCGTGTCAATCTATTAAAAACTGCTGTTCTGTTCAAACATGACGTCATCCACTGAAATGCCTAGTAACCATTTGCAAATTATTTTATAAACAAAACGTTTGTGATACTTGATACAATTATTTTTCTATGCATATTGCATGTACCTAATTTGCATTAATGCAAAAAAATTAATATGTACATGAAACAAAACGAGTTGTTTAGTATTAAATGGATTAAATAGTTTATGTTCAATAAGTCTAATTAATTTACTAAAAAGGATTGTATTCTAATTTAGAAATGTGATTTACTTAGGCATAGTTTTGCTCCCAAACAGTATAATTATATCACGAAGCAGTAGGAGCTTGCCTTTCTAAGTTATGAAATGTTTTATTAAAAACAAAATTACTGTACTTATCTGTTATAAGAAAAGCAAAATTGAATTCGCCTGTTTCGTGTATTATTACACTAGTAGAAGCTGGTTACGTCATGAAAGTGGCTTACGTTTAAAAGTTATGAACACAATTTTATTTATTTAAAAACCAAATTGCTGTATCAATTTTAGGAATAGCAAAATGGAATCGACTTGTTTGGTTTGTTTATACAACATTCGGGCTGGCTACCTTGACATTTTTTTTCAACGAAATTTAAAAATAAATCTTATCAGCAGCAAGAATGCATACAATCAGAACATTCGTTCCAAATTCGCAAATGTCATTGTTACTTTACTTCCAACAGGGAAATAGGCCTATAGAAAGTAAAGTAAGAATTAAGTACCTAAGTAAAATCTCCATTGTCTTTTGAATTTGTTTCAAATGAATTTTCAAAGTGATAATAATCCGAATGTTTACTTCGCAGGAGGATGATTTGTTTTATGAAAACAATATACCTATTTGTTTGTATTCAAGAGCGGAGTTCACGAAACATTTTAAAACAATAACATCATTAGCTTTGTGAATAACAAGTTGAATTTATGTTACATTTACAAGCAATTTATACTTAAATGTTTTTAGTAACGGTCGCGAAGGTGTTTACCCACCGTTGTGAGTTTGGCTTGTAATAAAAGAACAACAGAACGAATAATCGACCCAATTCTCAATGAGACGGATGATACGGTGTTTATCCAAAGTTGCGCACCCGGGCGGAGTGGGCACATCAAGGACGGTGTCTGCCAAACATGGGGGAGGGTTTCCCCGGGAGACGGGAGGGGAGTTTGGGGCGGGGGAGGGCGCTTTGAGGCTGATCTAGGAGAGGGGCGCTATATTTTGATTCCCGCCGCCCGCTTTATTGATTTTCCGCTCCCGTACCTCCCCGCGTCGCCCCCCCTCATTATGTACACATCGGCGGCAGGTGCCGGGTGTAGCGTCATGCTGTCATGCTATTTTCGGTTAGCGCGGTCACAAGCGGAGCCACGATTGATCGGAACGCGATGATTTCGCCGTTACGTAAAGTTCGATTTCGTACACTCTCGTTCCGAACGACACAACTTGTAAGTTTACGTCTAACGTCGTCGACCTTGAATTTGCCACGGATTCCGTGGAGTTTACGGGCGCTCGTTTATTTTATTGAGTCGCTTTGTGTTCCAACGCACTTTGGATTACTTCGAGGTTATCGAACGGATTAAATAGTTCTCTACCCCTTCGTTCGGTTCACTTAAATGTTTAATGCTGAATGTGTCTATTACATTCACTTTATATTAAAAATATTTGTTTTATGTATTTTTTTCTACCACGAAAAATTTACTTTGAGGAAAAATAAACAAGTGCCACCGTGCCAGCCTAACTGCTGTTTCAATTGGTTTGTTAACTCGTTGAATATGAAATGTGTTATGTTCCTAAATCGTTAAAACCCATAAACTTCAGGGGACTGAAACCAAAAACTTAACGCTACCAAATCTTTCAATTAGTTTTATTATACAATCGTTAAAAAACTCCATTAGTGGGGCGGCAATGAAAAGTTTTCGTCGAGTTTTCCAACTTCGGCGTCATCGCACGCAACTCGAATGTTCTCTCGCCGCAGAATTTAAACGAGTAAAGTTTGTTTCAGTCGGCTTGCTCCACTGTCCGTTTCACCCCGAGGGTTGGGCTGGGGGGATGGGGGCTTGACATTGATAAAGGATCGGGTTAGATACGAGAGCCGGTACGATGTTCAATCGGTATTGTTTTGTTACGTCAAGTACCTAATAATTTTGTCGATATCTTTGCTCAACGTCATATTATATCCAAATTAGTCCACCTCTATTATTTACAACATAACGTATCCAGTTACAAACTTATATTTTGACTGCAATAGGATGCTGTCATCGTTTTATTAGCGTGGACAGATTAGCAAAGTTAAGTCTGAGTTTGAAACTACAAACAAAAACATGTGTTGCAAACTAAAAACATGTGCTTCATAGTTAAAGCATAAATATCTTCATTTGGAAAAAAAATACAAAGTTTACGTCCAATTCGACATTGGAGAAGTTGAGTAGCATCAGCTAAGTTTGGGAACTGAGTAGTTTCAAAACAAAATTGTTCCGTCAGAATTACAAATTCTGTCTCTCGCTACCAACTTAGTTAAAAAGTTACTGCAACCATTGAAATGTTTTCATTTGCATTTAAGAATGAGAAATCAAACAAATGAACTTGTTCACCTATGTAGATATTTAAATACCACTATAGTATGCAGTTATTACGTTTTGTTCTATGAAATTTTATTTTACAGGTTAGCATTTATAACGAGAAATTTAAATATAGACATGATTAACGAGGCTTTTACGCGAAATGATTACAAATTTATAATAGGGCTTTTGATAGATGCGAACAGATTTCCCAATTAATAACAATCAGTTCGAATAAATATAATGTTGTTTTGGGAAATATTATGGCATCGAGATAGGTTTTTCATTATATAAAATAACTTAATTGTTTCAACAATTAACAGTCCTAAAATGAAATATTTAAAAAATTTTAAAGTTTTCGGTACTATTTTAGATTTAGGGATTTCATCATCATCTTTATATGTATCTTGTAGTTTCAACGGAATATGAATTTCAGTGTATGTTTATTTTTATATTATATATGGGAGTATCGTTTGCTGTAATCTTTTTGAGTTAATCGGCTCTAGAATTGAACTAATAAATTTGAATACTGAGGAATACTCATATCAAACACACGACGCGCCGTTCTGTAATGTGATAGACTAACAACTGACATGCAGGTATTAATAGATTGAATCTATATTAGATTACTGATTACTTATTGATTTTAAAATAAACTGCCAAATACAGGCGTTGGTATTTTATACTGTTACAATTAAGCAAATTTCAAATCATATCTCGTATAAATTATATCTTAGGTATTATGTTGTTTTAAAGGTAAAGTTATATACTTTCTAGTTCTTTTACCTAGTCAAAGCCGCTGTTAACAATTTTAAATGGTAACAGTCGTAAAGGCGATCTTTAGCAATCTCTTACAGTATTGTACATTGGTTCTCGATTACAGCCGTCCTTGGTGATTATTCACCCAAGCAGTCGTTACTCGCGCCAATTGTTACGCTGCAAGCAATGAAGCTTGTTTTGTCGCCAGCATATTCGTTGTTTAGCATCCATTTTGTTCGACGGCCATTACGCCTTATCAATTTTTGTTCTATCCCATTTGAATTCGTCGGAAATTGAACGAACACTCAACATTATCTATGGTTAGTGGATAGACTGTGGTTGTTATTTGCCGTAATTTCGTTGTTAATCCTTTAGCTTTTTTTTTCTCAAAACTCTCATTAAAGGCATTAATTTCACTTTGTATTCGATTGTGTATTTTTATATTCGATCCCAATGCTTAAAACGCGTAACATCTTGTAATGTTTTCATCATAATTATAAAAAAAAAACATAATGATTAACTGTTATGATATTCGCGCCTTAATTAATGTACAACATACTATGGCCACAAACACCCAATTTATGATCCCCGCTGTTTGCAGTGTTTGCTCCTAGTTTGTTACCAGACCTGAGCGTTTTCTACCAGCCGCCTCATTTCCCGTGATGGATTGTCTGAGTGCATTGTCTAGCTCCAGGCTCTTGAGACTTTAACCCTTCTTTAGCACGTATTTACTTGTGAATGTGCGTAAATACATGCCATATAACGCGTATGTCGAGTATTTGGTGATTTTTTCTCTCAGTTCAGAAATATAAATCGAACCGATGATAACAATATTTTGATTAAAAAAAAGTAACAAGAACGCAGATTTTTTGCCGGTTATTCTCTGGACAGTTCTAATTTAGTCAACCGGTGGTAGTTTTTTGTCGTTCTATAGGTATGTGCTTAAATATTGTGTTTTTGTTGTTTGTATTTGCATTAAACTTTGCATCTATTGGGTCCGCAATTCAAAGAGTCATGGCGGATTTGTTAAATGAAATAATGATTCTTTTCACTTAGAATAAAGCTTAGTCTAAAATGGATTTTCCATTTTGTTTGATTACCTTTTGCCATTTCTCTGACAACTTGAAAATTCCACGCAAAAACTAAGAAAATATCTACAGCTAACATATACGAAAAGGATAAGATCATAAAAATTGAAGGAGAAACATTTATAACTTAAATCCACAATGACTACTTAGTTGCCAACCCTTCCCATGTACTAGTTTTTGTTATAGATCAAAGTATTTGTCAGCCGAAACTTGAGTCAACACCGCGAAAGTACTTGAATTGCTAGTTTTACGTTGACCTAATAAAACATAGTTTTCGTTTTGCCGCATTGGACCGACAAAGAAACTTAATGTATTAAATTTCTAGTTTGTATTTAGTTACGTTAACCGATGTTATAATAGAACATTTCTATTCAATATAGCAACTTTTAAGGTATTAAAAGGCTGCCATTTAATGGTTATATAGACATAAGCACCAAGGGAATGAGTTATTTGCATATTAAGCTTACGTAATCCACGACCGTTACTGGACCTCCGAAAGGTACAATTTACTGATACATGAAATTCCATGCGAACTGGTTAAATTGGAAAGTAACGAAGTTAGGAAGGTTGAAGTTAATTACGAGCGATTAATTTATATTTATGTTTAATTTTCTCCCGCGTTTATTTAAAAAACGTTGGTTTTTATTCGTATCAAAAATTGTTATAAGCACAAGTTATAAATACTAATAAAACATGCAACATGTTAATGTACATAATGCCCTTGTTAATAAGAGACTTATATTTAAATATTTTCTGTTGTTAAAATAGGGGAAATACAACAAGTTTTAAATTTGAAAACAGCTTTCAAGTTCTTTACGAATAAGAAAGACCATTTAGGGGAATTTTCAATTGATAAAACACAACGAACAACAAACCCGTTGCCGACTGACAACTGCATAATACCTCAACTAGAGTTGCTATTTCAGTAATTGATTATTCGTTTTCAAGAACACTTATTTGCAGTTCTAAATCGTACGATAGTTGGAGGATATCTTATTGCAAGTTTCAAAAACGTCGACACAGTTTCCGAGGAAGGCGTATATTAGCGTATCGTTCCCCGGCTCTGTATGCCGCCATCGCCATCTCGTATGTTCTCGTGCGGTACGTAACCCGAGCGGGACCTAGGTCATTACTTACATATAAAGATATCTTCGGCCGAGGCGTTCGTCGGAATATTCATGGTTCGAAACCTCTCTCAGTTCCTAAAGGCCCATTTACACGATGCCATTTTCTTGAACATACAAGAGCAATAATTGAATGCAATAAATTGCGCGCAATAATTGTTTAGACCATTTGTTGTTTAGACCATGCAACTCATTTATTGCTTCAATTTAATTGTATACAACAGGCAAGAAACTTGCACCGTGTAAATGGGCCTTAAGTTGCGCGCCATTATTCAACAAACGAGAATGCTTCCTCGATCGTGACTCGAAACGCTTGGATGAATTTGCTCGAAATATTTAAAATACCCGCTGTGTTCGTGTCTCATGTCTTTATAGCATACTGTAAAAATTTTTGTCTTCTCTTTTCAAAAAAAGAATAATCTTGCTGGTTTGTTTCGTTTTGATAAATGTATTTGATTAAGTCGTGTTTTGTTCTCCTAGTATTTTTCATTTCTGTTGTAAGTTTGTTTTCAATAGTATTTATATTTATTATAATTTTTATTATCGCTATAACATTCGTTAAACCGAAAAGACATTAGAGCTGATGCTGGTCATCATCAAATTATTACGAGAATGTAGAATAAGACAAGTTTATTATACATATGCTTTTACAATGAAATTTAACTGCAGCTTTCAAATAGTTTTCTATGGGAATTAAATAACTGCTTAGTAAACTTTATGTAACTTTAAATATTTAAAATTACATAAAACTTCATAAAATTTTTATTCTCTTATTTCATTCCAGTTTCGTAAACGATGATGCTAACTTGCTAACAAGTGTATCTTTTGCATCTCCACCATATAGAATATAACCCTTCACCTTATTTTAATAGAAAATCATTCGATGTGTTGCGTTTTAGCTACCTAACTATTAAAAGGGCTTTTACTTCGTAACTCTCGATGATGTGAAGCTTAATCATAACAGTGCATCGATTGCTATTCCCTTAACCGCACACTGCGTTAGTTATCAAGTCGCATCAGACCCCGTCGGCGCTGGCAGGAAATTGAATGAGGGACCGGGGGCGAATGTGTGCCAGATCTAATGGCTTCCTGGTGGCAACTCGCTATTACGAGATGCTCGGACGGTCGGCCGGGTTCTCGGCTCGTTTCTTGCGGTCCGAGAGAAACTTGTGCACACGTGTTTGTATGGAGTAGCGTCTTGAAACGATCGTCCACAACTAATTGGATCAGCTCTCGGCGGTGGCTACTTTATAGTGGGTTTTACACGAGTTATATTTGACTTAACTCACATTCTCATTTCTAATGTGAAATATTTACTGTAAATCGCAATATGTACGAGTAAATGTCGCAAATCATACGTAAAAGATTGTGTGCGTGTTTTATTGAACATCACGACATTACTCTCAAGTAATCATACGCGTGCGTGGTCGTTAAACCTAACGACTGTTTACGACTTGACACTATGACACGTAACATGACTCATTGTGTGTAAACTACGTAAGCCATAGCATACTAAGTCACTCTATGACCGTTATAACTTAGATGTCCTTAAGATATTACGATGTGAACATCAAATTCAGTTTCTTTTTTCATATCTGTTCAACGTAACTTGGTGCTAAAAGAATAACTATGCAAACTGTAAGTAAGTTGATAACTGGTTACGAAGTGCATAAATGTAAAAAATATTCTTATTTCGACCCTCAATCCAATTATACTAATGTTCAAACTTTAATATTTCTCATTCAATGAATTTTATTCGCTAAATAAAATGTAACGTTTACGAACAAGCCGCTCTAAAACATTATATTTCATTTAAGGTCCCAAATTGACTATGCGTGAGTAGTAAATTTAAGTAACTTTACGTACGTTACGTTTTAAGTTCTTTAGTACGTTATGTTTGTAGTAAAATTCTACGAATAAATTCTTTACTTATTCGAACGGATTCACGTTCCACGTATCGGCTAAGGAATCGATCTTACAAGAGTAATTTGTGCCCGGGCGTTCTAAATAGTGTATCAATCATTACATAACATTACTTGAAATGAAATATTGTGGCTAAAAACTTGATAAATGAAAAGATAAAATAATAAAAAGCTTGTTTCATGGTAATAATAAATCTTCTCAGAAAACACAACGCTGAAACCATTGCATTCAATTTGCATTACGGATCGTATTTCTTTAAAACAGTAAACTGGGTAATACACGTCATTCTTTGTATCGTGGACTGTCGTAAATTACGTCGTGCTCCCATTGTTCTTACTTGGAAATTAAAATAGGAGAAGAAACACGTGTGATTTTAACACAATAGGGCAAGAATCCGACGCGCTATGCTCGTCCGTGCAAAGCGTTTACACACTTAATAATGTATTTTGCTATTGCTATTGACAAAATAAAAGAAGACCTCTTTGTGTTGCCTTTTTCTATGCGAAATGTTGTGGCTATTTTAATAGTATACAAGGTTCCTGATAAGAAGGTATTAACGTTTTTGAGGTTACCTAAATTAAGAATGCGAATATACAATTTATTTAAATTAATTCAATTGTGGATTTAGTTTAGTGATGTAATTACTTTCCCTACGCTTTGATAAAAAGAAAAAAAATACAGAAATCTTGTTGAATATTAAAGCGAGGTGTCCTATTAATTTTATTTATAACCAAGTCGTACCATATAACGAAAGCAATACCAAAAAAACCTATTAAGGCTTTAACGACACGTCGCGCGCGCACGAAACTATAAAAATGCAAATCGTCCCCGAGCTTATGAAATGTAAACTTTCTCCCGTCGAACTAGTATCGGGCGTTTAAAGCTTGCGAAAGGCGGGTCGGCCGCGCGTTAATCGAATGTTATGATCTCAGCGGATCGAGTGAGCGGAGTGAGCTCGCCGAGAGCCGCGGGCCGTTGCGCAATGCCCCTGACTCATCCGGCCCGCGATGCTCATCGGAGCGCGGCCGCTGCACGAACACAAACGGTTGCGCGGTAATCGTGCGATTACTCGGCGAAAACCGCTCGGCCGTGAAACGTGAGGGCGCGAGCGCCGTAAAGCCCGCTATGACGACTTCAATTATCTCGCACACCCGACTAATTGTACATACATCGCGCGCGTGGGACACACGTGGGACGGATAGTATGTAATCGCTCTCATTGTAACCCGTGTCGCTGTTACGCGATGGAATGTTATCGCGGCGTGTCCTACCCTCTGGTGGCGACCATTTTTATAGTCGCTTCCGCGTTATTCCTTCAATTTCGGTCAAAAAAGCCAATTGTCGTAGATAATTATACCGTTCATGGAACGTTTATAAAGCGCTCGTTTCGATTTCCCGTAGTCTAAAATCGAAACGATAACAACTCTTTCGTAGTTCTCGAAAGCGCACTGCAATTTATCAAAACCAGCCTTAAATGCCCCAATAGAGCTATAGTAATAGAGCAACCGGTAGTCTTTCCACGAGAGTACGTGGATATAATAGGTGGATGGTAGAGCGGCAGATGGAGTGGGGCCGGGGGGAGGTTGGGTGGGAGGGGGAGGCGAGTTCAACGCACCGGATACGCCTGTCGTCGGGCATACTCGCGTATGCACCTACACAGGTGTGCGTTTCCCATACAAGCAAACTTCGTACGTATAACGCTGTAACATTGACATAAATATTCCCTATTCTATAAGCCCCTTCAGGGCATTGCGCGATAAAGGACCCGCGCGCCTTTCGATTCGTAATTTAATGCGAAGTAATGATAAAAATGCGTTACATTTAACAGCGACTGCTAGCAATGTAATGTTGCGCAAGTGTCCCATAATGTGGGTCGAAATGTTTACGAGGTCGCGACGGGGCACGCTGTTATTTTAATATCGCCATATAGGAGCGATCCCTATTATTATACTGGAATTACATACGGAATACCACGCGTTGCGTTAGCAATGTCGATACGCAATCCGGATCGCTTATTGGTGCCGTAATTGGTGTCGGTATGAGCGCACTGCATCGATGGATGTTTTATTTATCTCTATTCGATACGATACGTGATGCAATTAGAATGGTAGTGTATCGTTTATGAACTTGTTCCATATTATTCGATATATATATTATGTATTTAACAAGCAGCGTTTTAGTAGTTTAATTCTCGCGTTGAATGTACTCCGATATATTATGCCATATTGACATACAAATGCATAAGTACATACGACTTGAACACGCGCCGATTGCATGTTTTTATGTGATTGGTAAATATATACGTAATTTTATTATTCGCTCTGTGTTATTTAACTTCTCTCATTTCTGTTGTGTATTAATGTTAATTAACACGTTTTTACTTGTACTGCACAATGCAGGTGCACTCGTGACGAGGTATTTCGAGTTTTTCGAGTATGTTAAATAAAACTTGTTTACGGATTATTTTGTGTTTAATTTTAGTCTAAACCGAGTCAGTTCTGCGACCAAGTTCAAAACAAAATTGAACACGAACATTAATCTGTATGTTAGGTTTGTTTTAACTTTTAATAGTTTAATACACGTGATAATTATTATCGTATTTCGAGGTCAAATAATTAAGTTAGTTGGCTAGCGAAAACATTATTAATTTAGCATATACTGCCGAACGAAGCATAAAAGAGCCCCTCACGTAGAATAAATACAGAAAATATTATCCAATAGAGATGGGCCAATGTTTGATTAGCATCGAATTTAGTAATATTTTTGACAGCTTTGTTGCGAATAAATGAGGCAGATCTACAAGGGAAAAAATAAAAGATTTATCATATATTATTATATCCCTATAAATATTGATCAAGGCCCGAGATAACCCTAATTGTGGTAAGATACGAATTACCTACCTTCCCTGTGAAATGTGAATGTTCGAAATGACTCGTGCCGAAAGCGCATAATCTTAAATACTGTAAATGCAAATGCAACCTCTCAAGTACTGCCGATGGCATTGGGTTGGGACTATCTAATTAGACATCTTATTTTAGCGGTCTACAATACTAGAGACATACATACAGAATAATAGAGAACCACTATCGAGTGTTTTCTTTTTTTTTTTAATTTTTTATATGACAAGGTGGAACCGAGCTGGCGGCTTACCAGATGTTTAGTGATAACCGCCGCCCATTGACATTAACAAGACCCGTAGGGTTGCAGATGCGTTGACAGCTTTTAATAAAGTGGGCCCCGGCTACCTCACTCACAAGACGAAACGCAGTATAACCCTTCCGTATAGCGCTTCCGCTTCACGCCGGTCCTCTGTGAGGTCGTGGTACTTACCCGGCCGGACCTGCCCATTCGTGCAACAGCGAACACTGTTGCGTGGCCCTACCACAGGGTCATCCGAGTAAATCCAAGTCCACCAAGTACCGCGGCCTCACAGAAGACTGAAGTAATGTGAAGGTAGTATTCTTACGCGTTTCGTCTGGTGAGTGAGGTATCCAGGGCCCGCTTTATTAATGTTGGCAACTATGCATCTGCAAACTGTCAGCTGTTTCACATGTTCATGGGCGGCGGTAAGTGCTTTTTTTGTTCTTTATTAGGTCTACAACACTTAATACAACCTTTACCGTAAAGTTCATATGGGCTTCCAATTGTTTCAAAAACAAAAATGCATTTTTCTAGATGTAGACAACATGAATGTAAATCGAACAGAAAAAGGACAATAAAACAACTTAACTTAATAAATAATATAAATAAAGCCTCAAGTGAGTCGTCTGCTCGTCTGCCAACTTTTAAAACCAAAAGAACAGTTTTCGATGAATGGACAGGTCCGTCCGGGTAAGTACCGCGACCTCACAGAAGACCGCCGTGAAGCGGAAGTGTTATACGGAAACGCAGTGTAACGTTTCGTCTTGTGAGTGAGGTAACAGGGACCCATTTTATTAAAAGATGACAACGCATCTGTAACCCTCCTTGTTTTGTAAGTGTCAATGAGGCGGTTATCACTAAACATCGGGTAAGCCGCCAACTCGCTTAGCTGCAACTTAACGGTGGTAGGGCCACGCAACAGCCTCGGCTGTTGCACGAACAGGCAGGCCCGTCCGGGTAAGTACCACGACCTCACAGAAGACCAGCGTAAAGTGGAAGTATGACAAATAATTTGCGTTTCGTCTGGTGAGTGAGGTAGCCAGAGCCCAATTTTCAAAAGGTTGTCAACGCATGTGTAACCCTCGGATTTAGTAGATGTCGTCTGCTCGTTTGGCAACTTTTCACATAAAAAAAATACACTATACAGTGTTTTTGTAGGCGACGATTGGTAATTGTAATATTTTGTTGATACACAGGAGTGGAGCGCTCGGCTGGCGGGCTCGGAGGTGGGCGTGCCGGAGGATGTGTTGTCGACCGTGTCCTCGGAGGCGGCGGAGTGGCGGACGGCACAGGACGGCCAGCGGATCCTGACCAGCACGCCGTCCGTGCTGGGCGGCTGCCGGGCTCAGGTGTACCGCGCCGCGGGCGCCACTCAGTGGTACACCGCGGTCATAGTCGGCGTCAACGAGCACACAGGGGTGAGGGAGTCTCCGTTAACTATTAACTTTTTCTATTTAACTGTCGCCGGACCGCGCAACAGTTTTCGCTGTTCCACGAATGGGCAGCTCCGTCCGGGTTAGTGCCACGACCTCATAGAAGAGCGGCGTGAAGTGAAAGTGTTACACTTTTGCGTTTAAACTGGTGAGCGAGGTAGCCGGCGCCCACTTTACTAAAAGGTGACAACGCCTGTTCAACCATACGGGTGTTGCTAATGTCCAGGGCTGCGGTTATCACTTAACATCAGGTGAACCGTCAGCTCGTTTGCCACTTTCTCACATAAAAAAACTCGTCGCCGGTCGAGGGACACTTAGCGCCTGAGCCGAGCTACCTTTGCGTGTAAAGTCGAGTGCGAAATTATCTTCGTAATCCTAATGTCTAAAACGTGTTTACACCACAAAACCGAAATGTTGTCCTGTAAACACGACTGAAATCTGAAAACAATAAATTAAAAAAATATGGACCGAACAGTGAACCTAGACCATTTTCGAATCGACCTGAAGGCGCACAAAATTTCATTAAAATCTGTCCAGCCGTTTAGGAGGAGTTCAGTGTCATAGTACACACGTACAGAATAATTATATATGTATATAAATATAAGCATTTAAAGTGTAAACCTTTGGCACTGATAGGACTTAGATTGTGTTTTTCAATTACCTACTTTTGCACGTTATATTTAGTTTCGAAGCACTTCTTGTATAATCGTGTCGCCTGAGTTTACACTCAATTATCGTCCATATTGCGCATACGTAGTTGCATGTCGATATGCTATTAATTTTGCCTCGAAAGCATTTCATAGCAGAAATGAAAGTTTCAAAAATAAAAAGTCTTTCAATGTGCACACACACTAGCTCAAAGTTATATTACCGGAGTCGTTCTACAGCCGTGCGTGTTCAAACGCAGACGCGGTAAACGAGCTTTATATTCCGCAAACAATAGAAAACGTTTCGTTTTAATCTTCCACAGTGTTTGCATAAGCCAGCCCCTGAGACCTTGATGAATGCCTAAAGTTAAAATTCCGCGGCTGCGCTTGCTTTGCTAGCTTTCGAAATCGTAATTAGCTAGGCGCATGTTTCGTGGTTTAAAAAAAAAATGTATAAAAAGTGCACTTTGGACAAGGTTAATTCATCTAGAGGATATTTTTATTCATTTATTATTATTTATTGAAAAAACGGGCTTCATCAACCTCTATCACCACTAAAAAGTTTAAAATAATACTAATTTTAATACATTCAAATCTTGAAAATATAACCTATAATTAACCTACCTAACCTCTAAGAAGCTTTTACAAGAAAACATGCCAGAAGTAAAACAATAATTTACTTGCTACTTTTAGATATTAAAAGCTAAATTTTGAAGACGCGCAGTCCTCTTTATATATTTTATAGTGCTGCCAACAGATGTCGCTAGTTGATACAAACCCAGGCATTTAGCTGTAGACTCCAACGCACCGGGCGGCACGGCAACGTGTGTTATGATTCATTCGTGTTCGAACCATTTTCCGTGACAGTGTTGACCGCGATCTTTAAATTAGTCTTAGCGGTTTTTCCGTTTAAATTGGCGAACGCAAATTTCTTTTGTAAATTTAATTATCTCGTTAGTATTAAATGCCGTTAAGGGAGCCCTGTCGCACGGATGTCGCAACTGTACAAACATTCTACAAGGTGACCCCGCTCTGGGTGGCTAGTACTGGCTCGGTTTAATGGACCCGATGGCATTCGCTCTGCTACGGGCCCGATGTAAAAGGGCACGCGTTACTACCGACGGTCCGTAACGTATTTCTCCGCAGAAAAGTGTCGAGCTATCAGAGTGGGCGATCTCACTACGCGAGCTTATAAGGGCCAATTGATTGACTCATTATCCCCTTAGCCGTTACAAAACTTACACGCATTCGTAGTTTTCTATGACTGTGTCTGTTTTCTTTTATCTTTTTGTATCGCACATTATAAATAAAGCGTAGAAGTAGTGGTACCGATTCATATGGGTACATTTATTGGACATAGCATACAGGTTTTAATAGGTTCTGTTTCCTAAGTACAAAAAGGATTCGCCGAAAATGTCACGATTATTACGCGTCGCGTAAAAACCAGTTTGGCTAAATAACATTAAACGCTCTTAAGACCGTTGGGTTGTTTCCATATTCATTAGTTTTCTGAACAAGCGTCCGACCTGTTTTTCTGGTTTAATTTTCTTATATTAAAAGGAAACCACGGCCTACTTGAGGGGATGTTTAAAATTAAACTCGCTATTGCTCTCTCTCTCTCTCTCAGTGATAAAAATGTTTTTCGTTTCGATTGTCTTCTCCAGCTATCGGCTTTATCCGAAAAACGACTTTACTCTAAGTTTTTCACTTTGTCGAACGTTTCACAACACAACGTTTTTGAATTAATAAAAAATGTTGTGAATTTATTATGAATTGTGTTGGAATCTAATCCATCAGGAATATTTTAACACGTACAAGGCTCAAGTCCTTCCTATAATAATTTTAGTCTAGATGAAGCTAGCCAATGTATCTTTTTGCTTTTCTAAATTTGTTGCATCAAGGAACGTGTCAGGGCTGTTATAAATAATTTTAGAGACTTTTGAGCGTGAGAAAAACGACAAACATAGAATATACTGTTATGTTTTGCATTTTTAATGAAACATGTTAGGAGCTTACTTAACGATTTGCATGTAAATTTCTTGGGTATTAACTCCGCCGTCATAAAGCGAACAGACGGGGCAACTTCCTCTTACGTCAACAGCTCCGGTGTTCGGCCATTAACCGTAGAAAATCCTTTCTGCGCGACGATAAATTAGTATTAAACGCGACATTGTATCAATAAACGCCAACTTGTGTTTCCTGGGGCACGCCCCATCCCAGGTCCCCCCTATCTCCACCCTCGCGGCGGCAACTCCGCCGAGCAAACTTTGTTGTTCCGTGTTATTGAAACACTTTATTGTTTTTCTTTCATCTCCTTGAACGAACACCGCGTCTGCGTTATAATCACTGCTCCACGTCACCTATATATTCCGTCTGCATTGTGAACAGCTGATTCGTTTGGGGAACCGTCACGCTATGCATTTACGCCGTATGCATTTAGATGCGATTTAGTTAAGCATCAAGTAAACCATTATAGTATCGGCTTATCCGTAATGAATTCGAACATCCTGCAATTATATATCAGCTTTTTAGAAATGTACGCGCCCTTATTTAATAACGAATATGTTTTCGTTGTAATATGTTGAATTAGTTCAACTGAATCATATTTCAAATTTGATCAATCTTTTCCAATCTCAAGATAGCGTGTTATTATAAAATTATTAAGCCTTTTCTTATAAAATTGAAGTTAAACGATATGGTCGCACTACTTATTTATCTTTCCATTGTGCTATGACATATTTTTCATTTTAATATTACAGGAAATAGATGGATAGCGAAATAGACATATCTTTTAATACATACACTTACATTAACAGCTTGTGATTTATTAATTTAAACATGTGTACTGATTATATACTACAATCTATGTAATCATATAATAGCACATCAAATAAGTAGAGCACGTCAAAGATAACAACGCTGATATTATTTCGCTTATCGAGCTATCAACGCTACATAGATATGAAACAAATATTATTTCAATTCATAACACGCCAAGATCGCTGTAGAAGTTGCGAACTGCTTCAATCTATCTCAAAGTTCGCTAAGTAATCACAGTTAAAAAGTTGAGACGTTAAACAAATTTATACTGCGAATTAGCGAGCGAGTTGGGAGGTCCGTCCGAGTCGTCGAAGTTTCTAGTAGCCCACCCCGTTCGGCCCCTTTCCTAGTTCCCCCGAGTAACTTTCTTTAAGTTCCCTCTTTGTTTCTGCCGAGTTCGCTGCAAACTTCGTCTTTTGGCCCGACGACATGTTTATCGACAGTCTTAGACGGAGTCGTGTTGTTTTTGTCCTTTTCTATCTACTCGCACGGCATGTTAGTATTTTGGAGCCGTGAATATTTTAAATAGATGTCTTTTTAAATATTCAATAGAAGTCAATTAACAGTGCCTGATTTTAATTAAGTTTGACAATGGACACTATAGTTTAAATAAACGCAAGTGCATAAAATCAGGTCTTAAGTATTACTTCAATAAACGGTTAAACTTGTATGTTATTATAACAGTGTTTATTTATATCTGCTTATTGTATACGTGAACGAATACGGCCATTACATAAAACTTAACTGCAAAACGAGTTTTGGCCTTGGTGGCTGAACCAATTTTTATAATTGCAACCGGCCATTTGGCACGTGTTCTTTCTGGCTTTGGAAACTTGCATGACGGTCGACCACCTCTCTATAGCATAGGTTTCATAAATATAAGGGTACCTCGAATGTTTAAACTTATCATGTGAATTAGCTCATTTTATTAAACTCATTTTTTTTTATTTCTTGACCGCGTCGCCCCTTGACAAATGACGTACGCATTCAAATTATGTAAGAGGGAATGTTAATATTTTTAGTGGTACTTCCCGACTGGGTAACATTTTGTTATACTACTATTATATTAAATGTATTTAAATATTAAATAATTATAATTATAAACGCTTGTACAATTTGCCGTCATAAATTTCAAGTTTAGACGGTATGGAAATTATCAACGGTCCTTAGCATATTAATCGAAATACCAGTCGCTATAATAAATCATTGAACAGACAAACGATTGATCGCTGTAAAGTGCAACACAGGGGCTCGTGCGAGAATGCAATTAGAAGTATTATTAAATTCATCCATTCCACGTCTCCCACATAGAAATGTGTCACCGCCGCGCATGCATTAGCTGCATGTGGGCCGCTATAGTACGCGAGTATGGCGGGCGAGTGCCGGAAATTTATCCGACCCGTTAGCGTTAATAAGCGCTTATAAAAACCGACCGACGTGACGCTCCAGTTTACGGGCCTTATCTCGAGACACGATGGCGCTTTTAATTTTTTTTTCTCGTACGCCAACATTACTGCTGTACCGTTGCCTTTCATATTAACGTGAGAGGTTATTTAAAAACTCGAAGTTTATTTTTTTATTGGGACGCATTTATAGCGTTGTTATTGATTGCTATAAATTTCTAAGTTCTGGTTCTGGTCTGGTTTATAAGGTACTCAAATGTCAATATTTAAAAATGGAAACAAAACCACTCGCAGTTTTCAATTCTAACGATTATGTAAAAACAATAAACGTAAGCATTTAATTTACCGTGTTCCCGCTTCGTTGTTGAGGCCACAGTGAAGAAGAATTATAAAATACTAGCTGCTGCCCGCGACTACGTCTGCATAGAATAGGCATGAAGTCGTAAGATTCAGACAAAAAAACAGATATACCTACATAAAACATGCATATAAATTATTTCCTTGCTTATTCTGATGTATAAGCTATATTATTGTAAAGTTACATTCAAATCCATTCAGTAGTATTTGCGTGAAAGAGTAACAAACATCCATCCATACATATAAACTTTCGCCTTTATAATATTAGTAAGGGAGTAAGGATGCACTTTTTTAGCATTTCATTTTGCGAGTCAGTTGTAAGGGTCTAGGTATCTTTTTGTTTATTTGAGAAGGTGGTAAGCGAGCTGGCGGTTCACCCGATGTTAAGTGATAACCGCCGCCCATGGGCATTTGCAACACGCGTTGCAGATGCGTTGCCACATTTTAATAAAGTGGACCCCGGCTACCTCTGTCACCAGACGAAACGCAGAAGCATAACACATGTGCTTCACGCCAGTCTTCTGTGAGGTAGTGGTACTTCCCCGGACGGACCTGCCCGTTCGTACTACACCGAAGACTGTTACGTGGCCCTACCACAGTTACATCTATAGCCGAACCCTTCCCCTGTTTGCCTTCTCTTTAAAAAAGAACATCTAAAAGCGCCGAATCGCTGGCATTGATAACGAGTGCTCTTGCGGCCATTCAGATTTCGTTCATTCGTCAAACGGTCTCGGTAAATATTTAAAAAGCTCGGACGTTGAAAGCAATATGAAGCAGACGCCGCTTATTTACGTTTACGCGAAGGCGTGAGAAAGTTTTTAATAGCGACTCACCTCTTGGATCTTGTTTACTCGCTCACACGAAGGAATGTTTCCCCGGACCGCGTAAGATCTTGTTTGTTTTCATCGTTGAATGAGATGGATTTGGTTATAGAAAAAGTTTGCGCTAATGAAAAATTCAGCTTCACATCTTCAGTTAGTAAACACAGCCCCGTTGAAATCTCTTCAATTTTTAACCGACTTCAAAAAAGGAGGAGGTTTCTCAATTCGACCGTATGTATTTTTTTTATGTGTGTTCGGGGATAACTTCGTCATTTATGAACCGATTTTGATGATTCTTTTTTTTTTGGAAAGAAGATATCCCAACGGTGGTACCATGATGGAAGGAAACCCAGATCTGATGATGGCATGCCAGAGAAATCGAGGGCAATCCTCAAATGTCATAGGTGTTGACAATGTTTTATTAGTTTCCTGTTTGAAATCGATTTTTTTTGTTGAAAATTATTATAAGGACCTTTCAGTGAGCTTGATTTATTTACTCTGCACTAGATAAGTGCAGATTCCGCAAAGTTTATGCAGCGTAATAGAAAAGTCAAGCATGGCCATATTTTATTCAAAATATGACCAAACTTCACGTTTAAGTCACTTTGCAAGCGCAGGATCCATGTAAATTAAAAAATTATAATGCATGAATAAGGTTGAGCCCAAAATGGCGCTGGTATGAAACAAAAGATTTTTCATTAGTTATAACAATTTTTTAAATAACTGTCTGTAAATAGTTATGAAAATATAATCTGTTATTTGCTTTTGAATTATTGAATGAATGAATAATTAATTTATGCTACATCTGTATCGGAAACTTTATACTGTTTATATTATTTTGTAATTACGATCAATTGCTTCGTTCGTTATGTGCAAGATACTCTCGTTTATTTCTTTTTGATAAATGTGAATAATCTTGCCCTGCTTCCTACATATCCCTTTTTGATGACAATATATTTTGACAGCTTATAATAATGATCGGTATTTTATTTTAACAGGAGCTCACAGTCACCGATGACACAGTCCTGGAAGAGCACAGCGAGGATCCGGCTCTAGTGCATATGAGACTACTTGGAGATGGAGGTAAATAAGATTGATTTTCTTATTATTCCAGCGGTAAACGTTAAATAAAGGAGAAGAAACGAAAGAAAAGCTTCATTAAGTAAAACTTTTAATAACGAAAACGGTAAAAGAAAAAAGAGACCTGAATAAATACTATATCCATTTAGTTTTAAAATACCTTTTACAAGAAGAAAAACTCGAGAGAAGGAATAATTTATCTGTGAGCAGTTTTTTTTTTATTTGTTCTTACAGTTTTATTTTTGCTATTCTTCTCAAAGGCACGGCATGATGGGGAAATAAAACCGAACGAACATGATTTTTCTTAAGGATCACATTATTGAACCAGTTCTTGAACATTTAAGGGGCAATTTATATCATATCTAAGATCGTTTATTTCTGTAGAATTTATTACTTTTTGTGATGAGTTGGTTCACATCGTAGGTTTATTATTGTATTTCCAGTCGTGTTTTTTTCGTAAGATCGGTTTTTTTTTACTTAAAGCAACAGGTTTATTTTCTTGTACCTTTTTTATATTATTAGTTTTGCGAATAAAAACTTATTGTGAAGAGGTTAGGTATATGCTTTTGCTAAATTTTGTCGGGTTACGCATAATAAGCTGCTTTAAAACGATCTTGAAATGACCGACACTGAAAGATTTTGTTCTTATCCTCTGCATAAATAAATTGTATTCCTATCTTGTGCTTCAATATTTGTTAATGAATTATTTTTATTCTACTATTGTCCACTGCATTGTTCGTAAGAGCGACGCCGCGGCGGTTTGTTTGTTTTTCATGACACATTGCCCGGTGCTTGTTTAAATTCTCAACGGTCGGCAAGGGTTACGTTTGATTACGTTTCCGGGTTCACCTAGCACTCATGGGATCATTTGAGCACAATTGAAAAGTATGTGGGGGGGGGGGGGGGGGGCTTGGCTTGCGAAGTCATGCTGTTCGATGTGACAGTTTTTTGTTACATTTTCAGTCGGTTTTTGGTTTTACGATCATTTATATTTTTTTTTATTTTGCTTTAAATCCAAATGTTTATCTCGTTAATATTTAAACAGCAAAAATGTTTTCTTCAAATCTCATGCTACACATGCTTGCTAACTTGTACTACCAGTGTAAATACTCCAATTTACTAATCATGTTGACTTTAGTTAATATTATTACAGACAGTTGCTTTTCTTCGAGTATTTATTATAATGTTTCATGAACGTGCGCAGCTGTAAATGGAAGACCATTTGGTCACGAAATGGTCTTCTATGAAAGATTTTATGACGCTCTTTTTAACAAATTTATTCGGCGACAGCGCAAAACGTTTACGTCTCGAATAAAAAGTACGATTTTTTTCGTAGTTCCACAGTTTGCCCGGTTCAAGCCCGAACAGATCGTTCGTACGGAGGTTATAAAAACAGACAAGTTTTTTATTGACCGGTCTCGGTCGGCAATCAAATTTTTCCACTTTTATAGTGAAAATATCAATTACTAGTGTCGATTTCTTTTGGTTATTTAAGGTGCGGTGTACGTTATAATTTCTTAATTTAAAATATTTAAAACTTCTGAACGCTATCAGCGTCCTTAATTGGTATTGGCGTATATATTGATATCTTTTTTTTACGCAAATGTTATATATGCTGAAATGTAGTGATTATACGGATATTTGGAACCATTTCCAGTCTGTCCCGTGACCATGAACTTCTGAAAGTGTTCCAACCGTCGCGGTCGGTTATTTAAAAATCAAACTAAAATATTGATATCTTTGTTTTTACGCAAATATTAAACGGATGAATAATTTTGATTTTTAATCTGTCCCGTGGAATCGCTGGAATGGGTTCGAAACGTCAGAATTAAGTTGCATTTAAACATGGTATTGGAATTACCAATTATTATACTCTAAATGGACTTGGCAATGTTAGGAAATTGTAAAGAATTAAATCTGAGCTAGAATAGTTTTCCCTTTTAGTATTAACTGGACTATAGTGGATCAATCCACATTTTTGAATGCTCGTGCTTGAAAGCTATTTTATTGCGCAATGCTAAGCCCTTTGTTGTATTGTAACAAGAGACAGTGCGGGTAAAGCTGACCGTCGGTATTAGTGTTTGCATAATTGGATGCAAGAAGCCATACGTTAAGTCGCAGTTTGCCCCCTCTCCACGTCGTAGAGGAATATCAACATTGTGTATGCATTTTTCATAACTTAGTTGCGTACTTGAATATTTATATCAAGTTGTAACGATAACAATTGCCTCTTGTGATCTTAAAAAAGAGGTAAAGGTACTAAAAGTAAAAGGCAACCTTCTCTAACGTTTTGTAGTCGAAATATCGAACTTTGCTTTCAGCAATCTTCTATTTTTGTATTCGTACATTCGTCATATCAAATAAGATATGTAATATACGCAAAATTGCCTGTTTGAGTAAATCTGTTTGAAGTAGAAGTTTATTGGTCTTACGCACAATTTCCTGTGTCTGAATTTTCTCCGTCTTTTCTTGATTTATTATTTTGCGTCAATTGTAAATAGACACTCCAATATTTGTTAAAACTTCGGAAATAGTAATTCATATACGTTTTGAAAATAAAATTAATTTTATTCTTACACTATCGGTTATTCTGCTTCTTCATCCGTTATTAAGACAAACTTACTTGACATAAGACTTAAGTTATGTCATCTGAAGCATGTTTGTGTCTTCCTTATCTTTTGTTATGGAATCGTTAGCAATTAGATTATATGTTAGCTATAACGCTAGTACCGTAAGTAAGGTTTTCGTAGTTCATAAACCGACCTCCAAAACACTGAAACATACATTGGCTTTAAGTTTTCAAATAATGATTGCCTTGAAAAAAATATTTAATATTTTACTGTAATAATTGATTGCTAACCGAGTAACTATTTGGAAATACCATTGGAAATAGTTTCTTTGTTAATTTCTAGTAAAGGCTCTACAGATATTAAGTTCACCCTTACGTCTCTGAAATAAAAATAACTAATTTGTTCCAGTGATCGAATCTATAATGAGGGGCGAAGTCGTGGGCGTGATGCCGAGAAGATCCCGGTCCAATCTCCAAGTAAGTGTACTCTATTATCTATACGCCATCTACAAAAATTTTAAAATAAAAACGGCAACTGTGGTAGAGCCACGCAGCAAGTCTGCTTACGATACACGAATGGGCAGGCTGTGGATTATATCGCGTTTTATTTTTTTTAAATACCGTGGTCACGGGCAGACGGGTTTGTTGTACATCTTAATGTCAAAGTTATTTTCGGCTACGGTAATTTTTTAATTGGTCATTTGTACTTTTTGTACTTTTAACGATCAACACAATAGAACTAAGTAAGAGCGTGACTATCTTGAGATCTTGCAGTGTTGATGAGTTTAGATTTTAACGTTATAAATTATAGGATTCTAAGCGGTGACCCTGGTATAAAGCATTAACGGTGAAATTAGGGTGTAACAAGGTGTTCAAGGTAAGAGTGAATATGAATAGGTTTCTACTGAGCTAGCGCGCTTACCATCAATGGCTGCATCGCCGCTCACCATCAGGTGGGATGGCAGTCAAGTACTAGGCAGTTTTGAATTTAAAAAAAAAAACAATCTGTCCCGTGACCACTTATGATGTAACGTTAGGTAAAATAAGAGCTTATACAAGTACCATGGCTGGGCAAAGACCAATAAATAATATAGCTTCCAATAATAAAGCTTTGGTATCAGCTTTACACGAGTAGCTCTTAATCCATCGTTTTACGATATCATTAAATTAATGTCGTCCGTTTTCGCGAAAGCCTTGCGTATCCTTATTACGTGACCTTCTTGGCAGGTTTGCGAAGGCGCGCTCATTTTGACATTTATCTTATTAAGAAGACGCCAAGGTGACTAAGTCGCTTCAATGACATAATTTAATTGCCCCCTGTTTTTTTTTCTCTTTGTCGAGCGCTTGGCTCTTTGACCTTGCTCGTCCTTTTTCTTTCGCTCGTGCGAGTTCAACGCTTTATGCAAAAATTGTTATGTTTTCATATAAACGTATAGCGAGCTCCGTTCCGTGCTTGGAATTTTTTATGGAGATCGGAAATCTTAACAGTGGATTTATTATACATAGTAAACTTAGTGACTAGTAGCAGATAAATCATATTTGAAGATATATAACAAAACATTCCTTTAGTTTCCTAAATAATAGTTTATTTCAAGACATAGCAGAAGAATCTCGTCGTATATATATATTTTTTTTATGTGAAAAGTTCACAAAAGAGCAGACGGGTCACCTGATGTTAAGTGAATACCGCCGCCCATGGACATCTGCTACACCCGAGGGTTACAAATGCGTTGACAACCTTTCCTTACAAATGCGTTGACAAGCTCCGGCTACCTCACTCTTCAGACGATACGCGAAAGTATTTGACATACTTCCACTTTACGCTAGTCTTCTGTGAGGTCGTGGTACTTACCGGGACGGACCTGCCCATTCGTGCAACAGGCTGCTGAGTGGCCCTACCACCGCTTAAATTTTCTAAATAAATTAAATGATAGTGATCCACGGATAAACTGGATTGATTACAATTAATTCTTCTAAATTTAATTCATTAGATACTTGGTCATTATTAAAAAAAAATTATCAGATCTTCATTTAATGTAGTTATAAAATTTTTAAGAAACAGCGATTTTTAATATACACTTCTGGGCCAGGGCGGTGTACCTATATAATTAGCAATGCAATAAATTGAGTTCTGTAAAAAAAAAATAAACAAATAGTCCTGTTTTCGAATATAATATATTTACGTGGAATGACGTTTAATAACTTCGCTCTCGCACAAGTTGCGACAGGTCGCCGTCGAGTGACGCATGCAACCAAATATAACCTGAACTCTGCGGGGTTTGAATCCGCTATATCTGGTGCGAGCGGTGCTTTAAGTTTATTTTGCCTGTTCCCCAATGTTTGATGCCGATGACGAACAGCGTATAAATAAACCAAGCGCCTGCCGTGCGATTCTATTTCTATTTAGCGGCACCTACGCTTTGGAAAGTGTCCGCCTTTATCCGTTATGGCGTCTTCTTGCAATTAGTAGTGCGTAATGTCATCGCTTTATATTAATAGCCAAATTCGAGTTGAATATAAATATTATTTAAATGTAAGTAATGAAAGTTTCAAAATTGGGCGTACTCAAGCTCAAGCCAAATAAAATTATTATTGCAAAACCCAAATTAAAGTTCCATGTATTTATATCATCGTTCTCTGTTATGTCTTTCATTAAATTTCTACCCACGTCACTCGTTATCTAATATATAAAATTCTCGTGTCACGGTGTTTGTAATTGAACACCTGCGAAACGGCTCGACCGATTTTCATGAAATTTTGTGGTCGATATGCCAGGATGGAGAATCAGACAACATATATTTTTCATCCCCCTAAATGTTAAGAGTGGTCCACCCCAAACATTTTTTAATTTATATGGCAAAACAACGTTTGCCGGGTCAGCTAGTTAACAATATAAACAAGAATTTGTGTTTCTTAGTTTGCCTTTCTTTTTAAAAATCGTATTGATGATAATTTCCGGTAATTTGTAAGTGCGAGAATGCGAAGGGCTTCTTTTTACTGGAAAAACAAAAACTGTGGTCTTTCTTGTCCTACAACAAAATCCCAAAAAACATTCAAAACGCATCAATAGCTAAATTTAAAAAAGTTGTAAAATAATGTTTGTGTGTTAAAGGCCATTATAATATTAATGGTTATTTAAACCATAACACAATCTGGTAATGAATTGATCGCTCCAAGCTCTTTCAATCAGACTTTTTATGTTGTATTTAATATATTCAAGTCACACAATGAATGTCAAAAAATGGAGAAAAAAATAGTAGCCTGCTGAGTTTCTTTCGTCGGTTCTTCTCAGTTCAATGGCTTTTTTACGAACCGGTGGTAGTATTTTGACTATCAATATGTGGGTGTAATGCTCCCATGTTAAATAAAGGAATTTGAATTTGGTATTGCATAGTGATTACAAATACTTGTACCCACTGATTATCAACAGATTCGAATCCAAACAAGCGACTAAGCCGATCCAAACATGCACCACTTGGCTCATTTGAATAACCTACCCGGGGCAGGGTCGAAGTCCCAACATTGTTTCAAACACGACACGGGCGTTTCCTCGATGTTTGCTCTGGCCGCTTCCAACTCATCGTGGCAAAGTTTCCGCCGAAACCGAATTAAGACCGCTCGATCTTGATAAGCTGTGTAATTACTTTTAAGATATAACGTTGCTAAGTTGGTTTGTTTCGTGCGAAACTCGTGCATAATTATAATTAGTGGGTGAAAAGAAAGTTTGTTTTTTTAAAGACAAACCCACGCTACGCGGTTCTATGACCGAATGCCCGTGGAAGGACATTTTCGATTTACTCAGGTCAAAATAAACGTACCTCACAGTGCCCTGATCTTTATTGAATGATGGAAATTCGTGTTGGAGGAATATGAATCAACGAATCGTTCAAATATTAAGTAGACATATCGGCCGCCCTTAAGCACACACGTAATATTTATCTCGTAGAAACTAAAAACCTTTCCCCGAGCTCTGTGCCCCATGAAGCTTTAAATAGTAATACGGACTGACAGCACAAATATCGATCACCAAGAAAAGCGCTCGTTGATTTTCATCCAAAAAAAAAGACGGGCAACTTTCAGTAACAAACGAATCGAGCAATATCTTCATATAAAATGATTTGAATAGACATCATAGGGTTCTATAGAAAAAACTGAACGTCGTTCACTGTTGGGATTCATTCAATCACGGCCACACGAAAGAGACGTGCTTCATTATATGCCCCGGCTCCAGACACAAGGTCCTACAGGACGCGCCCTCAAGGTCGAGTGTGATCCTTACAAAGGACGCCCCCACTAGATGAAATTATCCTTGAATGTGACAATTTACCTTCAGTGGTATCCGTTCCGTCTTTTATATTTATTGTATGTATATCCTAAACTTATGTAATTATTATTAACAGAAATGAATATTCAATTATTAATCGGTTTAAAGCAAACAAGGTCTTACGTGCGTAGTTGCCACTACTATTTACAATTTCTATGATACTATTGAATTGAAATATTTTTTTTACTTCATCCTAATAATTGTGCCTATGGTTCAACTGTTATTGAGTGTTATAATTACTTTATCTGGATTCGTATAAATTGTCAAACACTTTATGTATTGACATGTCTAATAAAAATTAAAAAAAAATTATCACAGTAAAAAGAAAGTCATTACCTATCATAGTGCTTATATCGAAATTACCAGCAATAAAGTGTTGAAGTCTATATCCTTACTAATCCTTACTAATATTATAAATGCGAAAGTTTGTATGTATGGATGGATGTTTGTTACTCTTTCACGCAAAAACTACTGAATAGATTTTAATGAAACTACAATAATATAGCTTATACATCAGAATAACAGGATTTAATTTATAAACATATTTTGTGAATTGTCCAAAATATAAGTAATGATAAGTGTTAACAAAGTAAGAAAATGGTGCTAGATATTCTGGTGTATAGTAAAAACTCAGTGTAAATTCTCTTCGCGGGCAAATCCGCGGTTAACAGCTAGTCGAACATAATTATCTTCTCCTGTCGAGAATCGATTGAAAACGATTTGGTTGAAACAAAAGACGTGAAATTAACATTAACACAAAGGGAGACGATCGTTGCCGCGCAGCGACCCGTAACATTACTGAGGCGATACGCCCTGGGCACATTAGCAGAACACGAAAGCCCAAAGCGTGTCGGTAAACTTATTCATTTGTACAATCTCAATATGACGCGCACTTATTTTGAAAGATCGTGAACCCTTTAACGTGGCATTAATTGCCCCATAATCTGTGCACTTAATTCTTACATTAACCATTTTTCTATTGTTCGTCTCTGGCGTCCACGTCAAACCCATCTTAATCGAAAAGAAGCTCATTTAATTATATAACTTACATAAACATGTAACTTACTTAAATTATATAACTTTGCAAGTCTAGGCAAATGCGGATAGTAATATTATTTTTTTTGCTTGATGAGCCACGTTTGGCCTTAGGGGCCTTTACAGTTCCGACGGACCTGAGGTGGCCTGGCGCTCGGGGTGCCTAGTCTGAACCTCGGCGAGCAATTTGTGAATATATCTCTTGCAAGTACTCATATAGTGTTTAAGTTACCAATGTTGTGGTTACCGTCATAATGCAAAGTTGATTGACGCCGGCGATCCCTTGTTAGCCTGTTCCTCCGGAAAAGGACAAAACACCGTTTTGTGATAGAAGACTTTTCACCGTGTCTATATTATTTCCAATCTCCCGCATCGCTTCTTCCCGCCGAATCGAGCGGCGCAAGGACTAATTTGCTCAGGCTAAGCTTGAACGGCGTCAATCGAGCACATTCCGTCGCCGTCGGCCGATATTCATTTCGTCGAGAGTACGGCACTGCGCAAATCCGGGCGGCATAATGCGATTAAAAGGGACGGGTGTTTCGGCCAGAGGGGTTCGGATGCCGCACGAGTGCTTGTCTTGACTGCCAACCCCTTCTCGCCACACGAGCGTCCTCCCCCCTAGCCGAGCAAACAATCCATCTAGACAAGGTGCGACGTGATAACAGAAGCATTATAAATGCTGGCGCGTACTACGCGGAATAATAATTATTGCTCGACCCTACAAGTGTTCTATATATAGCGTTTTTCTGTTAAGTATGTAATGCCTTGAGCAATATAAGTAACCAATTTTGATTTTGAATATAAGTAAGCAGTGGTAGATTTTAATTGTAAGCGATTTCTTTATTTTTAGTCGCTTTCAAAAAAAGCGGTACTTAATTCCGTTGTATTTATCCAATTCGGAAATTCCCATATTTCTTAGAAAGGAGGTCTATATAATATCTAGGGAGTTTTATTTTAATTTCATTGGCATTGGTCCTTCGATTATTGGATTCGGAGACACACCACCCTAGTGTATCTCCGAAATACACACTCCTGAAAATCAAATAGAAACTTTATGTATATGAATCGACCTCGGTTCTGTTATTTATAAGTTAAAATGTTATTATATTCTTGCTATTCTTGTTGCTATATTTCGCTATAGTTTAGAATAATCAATTCGTATCAAAAAGACTCGAGCGAAACCAAATATAACAAAATGTTTCATAAGTACGGGTTCCTTTGTCATTTAATATATCTCGAACACTGGTATGCTTTGCATTGTAGTCGTGTTTTTAAATTAATGTTTGTATTCCTTTGTGATTTTTATGATATTTCGAACAATATTTAAATAATTTCTATTGCTTTCTGTGGTTTTTTTTACAAAATAAGTTTTCTATTGAATATACATACTTTTATTTTGGATTTATCGCAGTTAATATTGATGAATTAAGGCTCTTCAAAAAATATAATTAAAATTTAACAATATTAATAATGTGAAAATAATCTTGATTGATATATTGTCGTATACAGAATAGGAGTAATTAAGACTCATGTCAATGAATGTGTACAAATACGAACATTTATCTCACGCGACATATAACTCATCATTGGTCGGACGAAAACATGAACTATTCTTTATGTTGACTCTAGTACAGATGTTGTTGCTAAATGTGTCAAAATTAATTTAAATTCTGTAATGAAAAAAAAGTTTATAATTGCCCGTGGAACTCTCAGCCGTTTGAAATAAATTAAAACACGACTAAATGACAGTAAATGAAGTAGGGTTCCGTAAAATTTTAATATCTCACCGCGGCGCTTGTAAATTAACGAAATTGCTTACACTTTAATCTCGCTCCCGCGTTTACAGCGGTGTTTCGACGAAACAGTTTCAACTGGAGCCAAGCCAAACATAATTCTCCTTTCTGATAAATTATCTGCCGTATTATTACTTTCGTCAAACGTACCATCGAGCACGATATACGAGTAACAGTTTGGAATTTAAGGAAGTCGTTAAATTATAATAGCGAACCCGCTTTGAACATGTTGAGAAATTTCTCCTCCTTGAATTGGCGCACTATAATTTTTATTCTGTTCGTGTTTTGAAAACTACAACTTTTTTAATATTCTGATGTTTTTATTGTTTACATTAAGACGTTCAGCGCCAGAAACCGATTTAAACTTTGCCTATTACAAACGAATCGCTTGGCCCAGTTGATTTATTAAAATTTTGTTCACGTTCCCTCTATCAGTTGTCTTTTATCTGCTAGTTTTCCTACCAAACCAAAGACGAGTTAATTCCACTTTCTAAACTTTCCTTATCTTTTATTGCATTAGTTAGAGGGTAGGGTAGCTTCTTTGTTTTCTAATACGCCTTAGGTGTTGATATATATTATTAAATATCTTCAAAGTTCAAAAACAATTCCTGTAATTCTAAAGACAAAAATTATGTATAATGAAGTCATAGCCTACAAATTTAAATTTCTTCTACAAATGTTAGTGTAATCATGTCAGACCCGTTCGTTACTAAAACTTGATCTCTATTCTTTGTTTTTATTGTCTTTCTCGGTATTGAGACTGAAATGCTGAAACAGTTTTTGCATGTCGTATTTATTTTCACTACTTGTGGAATAACATTGCATAAATCAATGTCATCATAAATATTTTTTGCTGTGTTCATTGTGCGAAAATCAAGTGTTATTTCGCAAAGTTCCCCAACTCCTACGATCCAATTTCAATGTGTCAAGTCGAAAAGGAATCCGACAACTTTCGCATCGACGTCGCGGCGTACCGCTCGGGCGGCGGTTACATACAGACGGGCGACCGTAATCGGCGAAGTTTTGCACCGACATCGGCCGACTTTCCACCTCTATCGGGCGAGTTAGTTAATGCCACTTCCCGTGTAGATGCCGGCTATCGATCGCGCCAAGTGCGGGATGCCGGGGCACGTCTGGCGCGCCCGCGTAGCCGAGCAACCGCGGCACCGCCGCCCCACCCGCCCCGTTCCACCGGCGGCATCGAGAGGGCTCCATCCCCCGGTCGCCGCTTACTTTGTTCTTGTTTCGTTTTGAAGGTTAATTTACGCCCCGACAGATAGTTTCGCGATAGGCGAGGCGAGGTGTGCTAATGTTGTTGCTTGCTCTTTGATCAACACTTGTCGTATTTTCATGTTGTTGTTATGATTATAACTCGTCAGAAGCTCTAATATTTAATTTAAATTGAGGCGTGCGTCGTACACTCTGCTAACGATGACCTTGCGAGCGCGGAAGGTGCAATAGATGGTAGTTACGGTAGTTGCGCGTGTGAAGTTTAATTAATTATGCAGGCTTGTGTCTGTGTCTGGTTCTGTCGGCTGTGCCTGGGCCGTGAGAGGGGCGCGGGGTGGCGCTGGCGGGGCGGGGGCGACACGCGCGGGGCCCCCTTCTACCCGAGCCCAGTGAGCGCCGTTCCCCCGTGCCGACACCACTACGCTCCGTTGCCAGTCACTCCGAACGGCTTACGGAACGCATCTCGCCTTTCACCGCACGAAGCAACTTCACATATTGTTTTTTTTTTCGCACTCCCACAATTCGAACGATCCGCGTGACGTCGCGAAGTGATTTTTGGTGATTTGTGGCCATTGTGAACAGTGGAGGGGCGGACGCCGGTCACAGCGGTACCATATTTACATGATTCATTGCTTTTGAATACCGGTTGGCGTTGGTCATTGACATTCATGATGTAGTGTCGCCATTGGCGTCGCTTCGACTAACATAAAAGAAATTAGTTATGGCTTACGAATTAGCTCAATCATATTTACTTTTCACAAATATTTAGATTCTATGGAACACATTAAAAGTTGATTGATGAATGGTGACCGGTTTTTCTCGATTATTGAATATTATTAAGAGTAGTGTTTGTATGTAACTTAGAGGTAGCATATAATTTACCCGTTTAACATAACTCTCGAAGCTATTCCGCAACAGTGAACACGCTTCCGAAAGCTAATTAGCATATAATGGCATGCGGCATAATCATGGCCGTCTAATACGTACACGTCTATATAGACATGCAATCGTATTATGCACCGGCCTGCAACTATGTAGGCGCTCGCAGCGCATACAAAGCGACCAGATAGCCACACCCCGATAAAGCCACCGTCTCTTTCCCACATGAGTGTGCACGGCTGAACATTCGTACTCTATGGACGGAGAGCATACTGCATGTCGCTCCGTCACGCCGTTTTATGTTACTTTCGAATGTGATAACGTGCACATGTTCGCGCCACGCCGGAATTAGATCTGCAGAGTGCACGATGCACGCGTAACGTCCGCCATATTGTTATTACACTCGCAACTCATCGGAGGAAGCGTCTCGTCCGACTTTCGATGGCCGGTGCTATGTTTGCGTTTTTGCTCTTTTCTTACGTCTTTTGTCCGTGGCCGACGCCTTTGTTCGTGTCGAGAACGGTGACGCTATTTATAAACACTCGGACCGTGATCGGGAAGGCTTTTTCTCGTTTTGTTTCTCCCGATCGCGTTCTTCTATTGTGCGCGGCACTTTCGCTCCGTATTGCGGCGGGCGGCGAGCGGCTTTCGCAGGTGCAGCACATTGTTGTCGCCCGTGTGCCACATAAAAATGTTTCCGTGAAAGGCAATAACGCTCGAGAGGTGGACTCGTATTCTTCGGTAAACGGAACGGAGTAGGGACGAACGTGGTACGAACGCGTTCACATCCCACGAACGCCCACCCGCTCGCTGCACAATCGAGCCGCGGAAATAAATCTCTCCTGACAACTTTGCTCCAAAACGTAAACAACACGAATTCAACGGAGACTGTAATTCTACAAGGTTTCATTGAAACGAATTCTCCTTCTTTCCTATGCTAATTACGCAATCGTAACTCCAAGGAAAGAACTACCCATCTGAAAACTTAATCATGTGCTTTGTGAGCCAAGGAAAACGACCATTGCATGAACCGGCCGAAGCCTCGTTGCGCTCTGATTTACGATAATCGCCGGTTGCATCCGATACGAGGCGTTATTTTAATCTTTTTGTTTGACTCGGCCGACGTCATTTACGAGCGGTCTTGTGCAACTCGTTATCGTAATGATAATCATCGCCATTTCCTCTTATAATGCACCATTATAAAGTCTTCTGACCTTGTTCTCTACAGCTATTGCATTGTTTGCGTCGATTTGAAATTCCAATTCATAACGCGACGAAATTAATGTAACTGAACATTTTAATAGCGTCGGCTGAATCTTTTGTTTGTTTCGACCCAGTTTACGACGCCGCTCACATTGGTTGAGTGTGTTTTTATTTCTGAGCTGTTCTTTGGCTTCTGTTTTCTCTACAATTGTCTTTTTTATCTTTCGTATTATTTATTCCTTTTCTCAATTTCTTTACCTCAAAACAATAGTTCTGTCGATGTAACATATCGACATTAGTGTTATGTATATTTCTAGTGGAAAAGATTTTGCAATACCGGGGGAATGAATCGGCATCTACGTACATTGATTTAGGCGGCAGTAGCTGTCGTGTGGGACATGAAATAATTACAGCGAACGTTCGCGTCTAATCATTGGCCTTATTTAGGCTTTAATCTTCAATCTTGTCGGAGCAACGGGCCGCGGGCCCTTGGGTGTGGACTAGGCGTACTGGTTTGCGGTAGAGAGGGGAGGGATACCGGTCAGACGAGTCGTGTTGCACTCTTGCCCTCCGGCACTCAGCCGAGATTGAGATAAATGTGCCGGGAACACGTCGCTTGTACGAACAGGATGCGGCGACGCCCTCAGCTCTCGGGCACATGCCTTCTTGGGCCCGTGAAAGTTATCAGCGAAACTTGGATGTTTATATAAGCTTAAATGCGGTGACCGCTTCCCGTTTTGTTAGTATTGCACATTTGGACTCAGCGTGCCATTTATGCAGTTAATATTGCTTTAACGAAAACGTTTTCTTCGTCTCTTTCTAGTAACGGATGGTTTAATGGTGGTTTAAATATGACATCTCTCTCTCTCTCTTTCCGCATACTGTATACTTATATGGGTTATTAGTATTCAGAAAAGTTTATACTGCATTTACTTTATTTACGTTTTATACAACGTCATTCTTTATTTTGCTAATCTCCGCTGCATTGTATCGATCTTTACGTCAAGAGCATCAAGGTATATAAATCAAGGTCATTTATAAGATCGCCAGGTTTACATTCTGTACTTCACAAAAGTCGTTAAATATACATGGCAGTACATTATATGTTACACGGTGATTGTATCTGTACATAAGATAATAAACGAGTAACAAGCAGACAAAGGTCAACCGAGGCATGCAGCCGCTTGCGTAATGACTTGCAAGATAAACCGTCTGCATTATGTAATCTTTTTTAATACCAACTCCGTTATTCTACAATAAAGACGATCGTTATAACATGATATGTTTGTATGTTTTGGTGTTACTTTGTAATTTATAATAAAAACATCATAACCTTTATATAGGGAAAGGGAAATTCATAAGGCTTTTTGGCGAAAAGGAAAATCACAAATTGAATCCAGCTAAGTACATTAGTTTCTGAATGGAGGGGAATGTAACAATAGCACGTACAATAGGGTCGTGGGCAGAGGCAGGTAGAATATTCCGCACTACATTAAAAGGAGCGACGGACGTCAACCCTGAAGGTGGGTAAACGAAAATAAATCACCCTGTACGCTCAATGGGCCGTTCACCCACCTCCGAGCATCCTGTATACCCATAATGTTAGGTTCGTGACGAATTTATGCGTCGGGCGAGAGGCATTTGCGAGTTTAATGCGCGCCGGGGGACTCGAGTATTGTTGATTATTGGACTATCGTCATTTTCCAAGCGATGTTTCGTCGCACTATGAGTGATTCTTACTTTGTTTCGTTTCGTTTCTAATTTAGTTTTTTAACATTGTAGCATTGCGATTTGCATTTATGATGAACTGTCATTCGTCTATCATTTAAGCTAAGAGCAATTACAGTATGGGCAAAACGGAGAAGTTTAACTATTAAATATTTAATAACATAATGGACACACAAACTGGGATAATACATGTATTACCGTACTTTTTAATTTATTAAAACAAGTGTAGTAGGAATTATAATGTGTCTGCAAATTAATTTATATTATTAAATTTATTCATGATTGCTTCGTGAACAAGATGAAATGCAAAACTATAAATAATTCACATTTATCTTACGCCAATCAACCAACAGAATAAGCTGATAAATGTTAAGTGTATTTTACGACGGTTTTTGGTCTTGAATTTTCTTGAAATTCAAACGCCACAGTCTATATGGGTTTTTCTGTGGAAATGGACGCTGCAAACGTTCGGAAAAGCAGGAATTTAAACTACAATTAAAAAAAAATAATTAACAATGTTTAGATTGCCTTATAATTTTAAATCAATACCCAACTAAAAATCAACTATTTATTTCCGACGGTGATTTGTCTGAATACTACAATTGCAAAATAAGTGACGTCATTACTTTTTTTATAAATCTATTCGCCGCCGGTTCCAAAAATAAGTGCCTTATATGTAATTATAGGTGTTTTATAGGCATTTTCATTTGAGTTAATCTTTCGAATAGGATTAGTTAGTTGTTAAGCAAAACCCAATCAGGCAATAGTAAGCCCCCGTAAACAATAATGGAAATACAGAGATGGTAGATATGTAAACGTTGGATTTTCAGATCCCGAATGATGTTTTAGGGCTGACACTTTGCCACGGTATTGTTTATTTTTATTTTGTTCCAATGCCACCGGTCATTCATCATTTGCTCGCTGTTTTAGTTTGGTCTTGTAGTCAGACGAATCAGTCGCTGTCCGTTGTACTCCCCATCTAACCACAATACAAATTTGAAAATGAATTACTAGATAAATGCAAAATACAATTTTTTCACAATATAACTTATTGTTAACAAAAGGTGATTATTATTGGTACTCAGAACATTCCCTAGGTAGTATTATTTGAAACAAGTTCAATTATTTACCCGCATTTAATATTTTAATATCATACTAGTTATACCACACGACACATTCTTAGCTATTGGGAAATATTACAAAATAACATGTGACAACCCTAGTTCAGAACATCGCCCACAACGGCGAGTCAGTTTACTGTGCCTATCAAAGGCTCCCGTTCAAAGGCTTGCGATACTACGCGATAGTGTGTTTGTGTGTGTTTAGGTGTGTTTGTACCGGTCAGCGTGCTTTCAGGAGGTCCCTTGCAGTGTAACTACTTTGTGGTAGATGTATGATGTCTGCATTGCAGTTGTTCGGCTGCGCCACAATGGAATGTTCACCGTGTAGTCTATTCAAAATTTAACGAGAATAAAGATACAAATACAAAGTGACTTATATTATGACGACTCTTCAGATTAAGTGCTCGTTTATTGTTGTATCGTTTTATTAAATACGCTCCGGATTATAGTTGATTGTTGTTTAATACATTGTAATAAGAATTCTAGCATTTTACGTATAATAGATACGGATGCCGGTTAAAATTAAATTTGGCGAGCTTATAACTTGCTAATAAATGAAATTAATTTTGGCATAAGAAATTCGAAAATCAAAATTACTAAGGCTAACCTCGTATTGTTGGGAATTTTCACTGTACCGCTTACCGAAGAGACTACTGTCATACTACTATAGCACTGTTTATTTTTAAACAACAGCAAATATGTATTATTTATTACCTTGACAAAGGTCAAACTACAAACGTTTTAAGGTAAAAAAGTCTGGTTAATACCTTTTGGGGGCATAATAATATTATTTTTATTGAAATAAATTATTCATAGTTTAAAATGTTTTACATTGCTCTTCAACAGATTAAATATAACTTCCAACCTTGATAATTTCTTAAAGAAACTTCGTAGATATTTTTAAGTTTTAACAAATTTGGGTTTGTTAATAATAAATAAATAAAGAATTTTATAATAATAATATTTACTAAACGCTCTTGACTTATCTTCGGTTTGTTAACTGGTCTGCGTTCGCTCGTCATATTGAGCGTACTCGAATTATAAATCTCGGAATACTGAGAACAATATATTTGAAATTTACTAAAGTAAATTTTCACAATAATTCTTCTCCTTACAATATAATATATATATTATACTTTACTAAAGTAAATTTTCACAGAAATTCTTCTCGCTATTTTCCTCATTCTCCCAGCGATAACATGGCCTTTACGATGACGGAACAATTGAATAAAGCTACTTAAGAACATGTTAAGATTTTATCAATTGTTGTAAATATTTGCACATTTTATTCTCATTCCACCCAAACATCAGAATATTATTCCAAATCAACTATACGAAGTTGTATTATGTTATATATATGTTATATATGTTATATATATATATAAGTATTCCGTCTACATATTATATGTAGTTATAACGGCAAGAGCAAGGGCAAGTTTAAAAATAGTTTTCAGTAACCGTGTAGTGTTCGCGTATTATCTTAAAACATTACGTCCATTAATAATTTTAAGTCAATATCATTAAATTTTAATCATGAAACACAAAACAGACGGTAATTACTTGTTTATCTAGTTACAGTGCATTGAATGTACACTCGCTATGCTCTGCGGGTTAAGTGACATTTAGGTCAATGGAAATCAATAATTAATGCAAATATCTTGTAACATATTGACAGTGTACCCTTGTCATAAATGTCAAAGGCAGACCACGTAGACTACTTAAATACTTACCCCTGATTGAAAACTTGTAACAGGCGTATGGGAGACTATGCGGGCTTGGTTTTCCCTGAATTTTGATGTCATTTAATATTTATTCATTTCTTTTTAAGTGTGAAGTGGCAACGAAAAATTATTATGAGGACATAAATATTATATTTTATTTTATAGCGTGCGCGATTATTTCGCGGAGTGGTATTTCCGGATCGATACAATTGTTAATTTATGGGCCTCTAAGAAAATATCACTTTACAAACGTAAAGTTTTGTCGCCTCCATTTCGGTCGTCTCGTTGCCATCCTCATTAGAAAATTCGGAATCATTAATATGCCATAGTTATTCAATAAGTCTTTATGAATGTGGACCGAGTAAGAAAAATTCAAAGTAATGACGCCTCGATGTTTGTTACGTTGGAAATTGTCTGCAGATGTTTTAGGTACGATACGTACCCGTATTATTATAACCGTGGTTGCTCATTGTCCGGGTGCTCGCTTTTAATTCAATATACTTGACTAACCTGAATTCGATCCCTTGTGCCGGTACTAATTAATTTGTTAATTTTAAGTGCTGACTTATGACGTGCTCAGCGGTGAAGGAAAACATCATGAGGACCTTTGTTTTCCATATAATAACAAAAAAAGTTTTCGCCCTAATACTCTCTGTGCAGAGGAGGCCCTTGCCCAACCGTGGATTGTGTGTAGGCTGTTATTTTACTTTTTACCTTTTTACGTATCATGTTTATTTTATACTCCGTATATACTTTAAATAAGGCTCATAATTGAGTGTGAACAAATGTATACACTTGATTTTGTGCAAACATAACCGTGGCCCACTTTTCGTCAACATTGCGTAGGTCAGTCAGCGGTGGCGCGTTGACGCACTTTCACCGCGAAGCAACATTCGCTTTCACTTCACGATCATATTTGTTTGTGCGCCGGCAATTTGTGTTTTGTTCAATCACCTTGGCCCAATGATTTCAGCGTCAAGCCGCTAGCGTACTTGTCCGTTTCCAAATTTACGAAATCGCACCAATTCGTAAACTCCGTGGCTGTTGCATTTTTAATTATAAATAGCTCCGACCGACAGCGGGTTTCGAATAGGTTAGTGAAGTTCCAAATGAAAGTGAAACTGTTTTACGAATTTTATCGCGGTTAATATGTTTTAAAACGATGATTGCTAATCCCGTCGTCTAAAGTACGTGTGTATAATCTCTATGTTCAATAATTTACAAAAGTAAAAAGCTATTACTTGTTTTTCTTAATAATTGACGATACAGCCTATACTTAGCCTTAAATATAGAACAGCATTCAATTGTAATTTGTAATTGCTTTGTATTTCATTCCAGCTAAACAAATAACCCTGACGGAACTGTGTAAACAAACACTGCAAGGAACCCGCGGCTTTCGCCAGCCTTTGTGCAATTCGAATGTAAAGTTATAATTAACGTTTTGAAAGTTTCCGTTCGCGCTCGATTTTCCGGTATGCGTTTGCTATTTCCGTAGTGAGGAGAATTACCATAACTTCGATTCCGAGCAGGGTAAAGATAAAGAACTTCGCCCTAAAGGATACGGCGTATTTTTGGCGCGTGCAAAAGCTTATATCGAAGCGTGGGTTGCGAACAATGTTTGCCTCTACTTTGAAAAGGTTTCTTTGACTTTATTGATAGCTCTAATATTTTCTATAAAAATATTTCTTATTTTGTACATTAAATATTTTTTCAATGTCTTATAATTTTCTTATATTTAGTTTTTAAAAATAACAAGCTAAACTGAGATAAAAAATAATTCCAAATTTAAAAAAATTGGTGATAAACAGCGGGATAACAAAATAATTGTTATTGAAATAAATTCATTGTCTCACGGCTTGACAAAGGTCTAGTGCAAAGCAATATTTATAATTTTTACATTATTTAATTCCTGTCTAGCACATGTTTTTGTATGTTATTTTTTTCATCGTTCATCGTTTCGCGTTCATTGATAACAATGTGTGTTTCTTACTTTTCTTGTTTTTCATTGAACATTCAGCAAATACTCCAAGAGCACAGTTGGCATTGGTATTACGTAACAGACAGCCTTACCTTACTGTTGATTTTTACCCTTAACATAAAACATTTGTCGTTTTAATACTGGTTAGTGTAAACATAAAAAATTAATAAAAAGGTCAAAAGTAAAAATAAATCAAAAGTATAATATATGTTTATGACAAAACAAAGTTAGTCGGCACAAAACCAATGTTTGTCAATACAGTGTCGCAGCGTATCCCAGAGTAATGTTTCTGCATACAAACGGTTCGTTCACGGGTGAGATCCCCCTTTCTTACCCTCCCCTCCTCCCGCCCCGCTATAAACACCGGAATCGGGAGTACCCACCCCCGCCTTCCAGGACTAGTCCATTTTTCTCGACCGCTTAGCGTGTCGTGTGCCGGTCAACCTCGCAAATAATCCACCCCCTCTTTGTTTCACGTCCTTCAACGGAAATATTGCCCGTACATTATACTTGGGTGGGAAACGAATTAAAAATAACAAACGAAATTGAACGTTTTCATGAGCTTGAGTGGAACATAAACATTGACAAAAAATACCATTTACTTATAATATGGAACAGTCGACAATTACTGTTAGTTAAATAATTACAATGCTCATTCTCCTAGAGCTTATTTGCAAATGTGAAAAGGAACCTTGATGTTAATGTGAACCTTGATGTTGCATCTGTGGAGGTTTAATTTTTGGCGCTGTTGCCAAGGTATTGGCTTCGGCGTCGGGGGTCGTGGGTTCGATTCCCACACGGAACAACTATTTAACCACAGATACTTGTTTTGCATGCGGGTGTTTGTCCACGTGAAATTTGTGTTCGCAAAACGTCCTTACAGCACAGGATAATATTATCCTAAAGTAAGGGCAATGTTTTTTTAAAAAAAAGAAAGAAAAATATAACTGGGTCAAGCCCCTTGTAGCAGTTGCATTAATGAGCAAGTTCTTTTGGGGAAGTACTACGGCCTCACAGAAGACCGGCGTGAAGACGAAGCTTTATAGTTTCCCGTTTTATCTGGTGCTTGATCTAGTTGGGGCCCAGTTCTTTACGCATCTAACACCACAAATTCGTACACGTAACGATAACGTCCAATCACTTTACCTCAATTTAACCGCCGTCGCAAAGCCACCTATTCACATTAGAAATATATCCAGTGAAATATTTAATTCAATTGTGTGATTCAGTTTGTTTGGCACTTCACTAAAGTTATTGCATTTAATCTTTCAATAATCTTCTATCTATCACTACAGACGAAATGCTACTGACAATTCTATTTGTTCCTTCATTGCTTTCATGCATAGTTAAAAGTCGATTCTTGTCAGATTATTTGATGTTAATTCATCTTATAAATTATCGTCTCAATCTCGAATAACTATAAGAGCGAAACTCTCAATGCGCCAGTCGGCGGGAAAACCGTTTCGGTGTATTTAAATAAAAGGTGTAGAGATTCTATCTTTACGTTTCCTCATTATCGGGTTTCAATCGGAATTACTGCAGTAATACGATGATTGGCAAGTTATTCCGCCGAGTCAGCGCAGTAAGCGCTTTTCAAGTGCGCTGCCTAGTCGGCAATAGTGGGGGAGCTCGACGACTGAACGGTGACTGAGCAGCGCGCGGCATGAGTCATGACTCGGCGCAGTTCTGACTCGGGAGCGTCCAGAGTCAGCTGAAATAAGTGGATTACGCCTCCACGACAGAATGAATCCGTTTCAAAGAACCCTTTCAAATGTCATTACTCCAAACTTGTACCACGCGTATTAAATTTATTCGTCCGGGAATAATCTTGTTTCGAGAAAATTGTTTACAATACTCCGCGTTCACTGTGGTGTTGTCGTTGAATAAAAAAACACGATGAGATATTTACGTCGATGAATTCTTGAAACTTAAGCCATTTTAACCAGAAGTCTTGCGATGGAATTTCAATGTCTACTGTTAATCCATACAGCAGGCGTTCCTAACTGCAAAAACCTTTTTATGTGAGCTGTGGATAACAAAATCTAAGATATCTTAGTTTACTTCATCATTCCATTTAACGGCTCCCACTGAAACATGCACGACATTTCAATTTTGCCTTGAAAAAAAAAGTTAAAAATTGTGAAAGTTGAACATATAAATCTGCGAACATTTTATTTATTTTTATAGAAAAAAAGCTAAGAGTGTGTATAAGTAGATTCATGAACGAGAAAAATCTGTATGAGGCTAGCGGAAAACAAAGTTATCTGACTACTCTCCGGGTGACAGTATTTAAACGTGAATGCCTAAAAAGGTTCCTTCCTACAGGTTTCCTTTTTTGTGTGGCATGAATCGGTGACTCAAAGATTTTTTTTTGTCTAACAGAGAGTTGAGCGTGAGAATACCAAGAGTCCGGCGACAACTGGAGGCAGGAAGAAGACCGCGGCCATCAGAAGTAACGGTCAGATCACATCCGTCGAGCCACCGCCACAACAGCAAACAGGTACATATGGGCCGTTCCCATAGAGCTGCCCAAAGGAAATCATAATCGGAATCATATCCGGAATAATTCAACACGTGAACTCTTTAGAGGTAGAAATCCAACACAATGAAATAAGTTTCTTTTATTTATGGAATAATAACACATATAAAATTTGGATAAAACTTACGTTTACTTACACGTAATCGTAAGTTTGTGCTGTAAATTTGCTGAATTCGAAACGTTGAGAATAAGTCAAAAGCGTTTATTAAATCGTTAACAACTCTTGTTGACAACATTGTTAACAACACTGTTACGGTAAATAAAGACAAATCGTCTGCATTTGAGGTTACGTACAAAGGGCCGTTACTATAATTTGAAATTTGATTACAAATGCGGAGACCTGCGTACCGGTCCGAGCTCCCCTTTCGCCTGAGTTCGCGTTTCGTAACAGGGACACGTCACAAAGGATCCCCGAGGGTCCGTCCGAATGGCTGCCTTAATAGGAAAAGCAGAGTATATACAGGCAAATCGCCTGTGCTAACGTTTGTAGCAAAGCATTGGATGTTTCGTACAATGCGATTGCCTTTATAACATGTCTGACTGCAAACATATCTAAACCGTTTTGTATTATAAATAAAATTAATGGCCGCGGTGCTATTGCGTTTGAATATGTCACTTGTACATATCGTAGTTCGTTCACTTGTAAAATAAGAAGCTCTCACTCGCTGTCATTCGATAATGAATAACAATGGGATAGAAAAATAAACAAATAAATGTTTTTAGGACACATTTTAACAACGTTCTCTAGTCCCAAACTAAGAAACGATAACTGAGAAACATATTTTTCTTTTGTAAATAAATACAAATTACACATGTTATATAAACATTCAGACATTGAAAAAACACTATTCAGTTAGTTCATCACACAATATTTTTCCAGTAGTGGGATCGAACCCCACACCCTCTGGCGAAAGAGGCACGGCCACTACCCATTAAGCTAACGGGTCGTCAATTGCAATGGGAACTTTATTATTAAGCACGTTCGGCTCCGAGTAGATTCTAAAATTGTTACACGAGGAATATACTAATATTACTATTTCCGTTGGTTCAAAAGTTTGACTTGTTCAATTTTTAGTCCAACATTTCTATTTTACAGTGCCAAAGTTATCACTAGCTGGCGTCGATCCAACACTGCATCCGTAGAAATCCCACCCGGTGCCGTTCCTTATGCAAGCTCATGTTCTTTAACTATGTATAAATTCAATACAAACCTTAACGTTGATAGTCAGTATTCATTCGACTCGTTTGAACATTTATTTATTTTATTTAGTACATTGTTAAATAATACTTACTATGGATATTGCAGGTATAATCATCGTTAATTTATAATCCAACTCTAATTTACAATCAACATATTAAAAACCTATATTCAAATCGAAATTCTTTTACTAGTATTCAAATAGCGAAACTTATAAATATTAAATATTAGTTAAAATACCTTATTCACGTTATTTTACTTCGCTCACTATCACTAAAATTTAAAAAAAAATGCCTTTGGCAATTGGCCACGTCGGCAATAAATCTAAGGGATAATAATCACATACGTTTCCCCGTATTTCTCTAATGGATAGTCCCGCTTTGACTTCTGACTACAGCCAAGATGGATGGCATCCATTTGCAATCGACTGATCCACCTTTGGAAATTACTGCTCTTTGAGTCGTTATTAAGTATTAATAGTTTTACTTGTTTAAAAAAGACTTGACTTCTTAGTTTCAGTTTCAGTAATACATAAGTTTACTTTTAGTTTCGTATTACTGCTGTTTGTTAAATCTGAAAGTAAAACTTTTGTTTTGTAAATATATTTTCTAATATAATTTTCCTCCCTCTCTCACGCCGTTTGACAACGCTTGACTCGAAATCAATTATTAAAATTGAGATTTTACGCAGTGTCGAATAGTTATTCGGAACTCAGTAAAATCTATACATAGATATATTAATAATTCGTTAGGTGATAACAGGAAAGTGGTGTGCGTCAAATGCGAAATTGAAATGTTCCGTTGTGTCAAGGCGAAGCTACGAGTATCTGTCGACTGAAATATTGTGTCCGCGATAAAAGCCGATAGAACGTGTTTTCATTTCGTGCGACGGCTGTACGTGACGGCATTGTGACGTCAGGGGTCGGCTAAACGCCCCACTGCGGAGGAGGATGGGAGGTAAATGGATATGCACGAATAATGCTACTTCAACAAAATAACGGGAGCGACAGAGCTCCACTTCGAAGTAGCAATTGGTCGCGCAGCATTGACTCGAAATTTAAAATTGGAACGTTTATAAACAAAGAGAAACACATTGATCTTGTTGAAATTGAATAGGCTAAATGTTTTTATGGATGACATTCATATCTTTAAAGTCATAATACATTTAAATACAATTAAATTTGCCTTTAAATGATTAAACCTATTTCATTAACTTGTGGCCGGAATATTTAAATTATGAACGAACCGTTTGTCTTATTATTCAGACGGAGTTTATCGATCGCATTTTCAAATACCTATGAGCAAATGTTCAAAATCGTTTAACAAGTACTATCACGGTAACGGGTAACCCAGGCATTCTGAGCAGCGGACTTTATATTGCTTCGGAAGTTTCGGAGAGTGAGTTTAGAACAAATATTGCTCGGATCGTTCCAACTTCGACATCGTTGCTCATCGAGGAAAGTTTGGTCACTTTCGTTGTAAGCCCGGCGACCTGTCTCACGGACGGCGCGGGACCAACTTTTGAACGTGAAAACGCCCAAGTTCCCAAGGTTGATTGGCAATAACTTTAGGTCGACGCAAACCCTCTGAAAATATAGATTCGACATGTTACTTGGGATGTTGGAATGATTTAGATTTTTCATATATTTATATCTGATTGACATTCAAACAAAATGACTATCTATATATATATAAATGAATCGACCGATTTCACTTTTTTTTGTTTTGTTTGTTATTATCAGGAGAAGGTTCTTATGAAAGAAAAAAATTAAAAAATTGCCTGAAAAAGTCTAAAAACAACACTTTTCTATATTCACGTACAAAAGATTCGTAATAATACTTAAAATTCAATTTCAACTTAAATACCACACCATAAAGTGTTAGTGGAGGGGTTCCGGGAAGGCAAAACAAGTGATTGACTGTGGTAAAATGTCACTTGAAATGTAAAAGTCGTCTCGCTGTCTGTCTGTCCCTATGTATGCTTAGATCTTTAAAACTACACAACGGATCTAAATGCGTTTTTTAATAGATAGAGTGATTCAAGAGGAAGGCTTCGCACGCTTGTATAATACATTGCACCCGTGCCCAGCCGGGGAGGATCTCTAGTAACAGAATATTTTTATTGATGGACCGTTGTAACTGTCACCTTTGTACTTTCTATTTTTCTCAACCTTTAGTTGAAAAACAATCAACAAGGTTACCTCGTGAGCACTAGCAAAATATTATTAACAACTCGTGGGTTGATGAAGCTTTAATAGTCTACGGGCTTAAAGCAAAAACATCAATTCATAAAAGGTCCCGTTCTATATATTCCCCATCTATTTTTTCTATTAATTTTTCTATCTTTAGTATTTAACTTAACAAATTTCCCGCGCTAATTTAACTAAAATAATATGAGACGGATTTCGAAATGTATTGTACGTATTTATAAAATATAAAAATGGAATATAAAAGACCTGTGTGAATAAAAGATAGTAAAGCTGGTTAGCGTAAACACGTTCAGACAAATAACATAGCGAAGTTTCGATATTCGTATATCGTTCTCTATTCATTGCGCTGTAGCAACGTGTGAGTAATTACTCACAGGGTAATTACCCTAGTTATCTTTACGAGGTGTACTCCTGTTCACTTCGGCATTACAACGCTTGTGCGGGCTTGCAAAGCGGCGTGTATCCGAACCGACAGTCCTTTGTGCCAGTCGAGAGGAATTTGTATAATGAGTGAGCTTCCGTGGCATCGAGGCGCGCCTGCGTTCGGGAACGGTTTGTCTTTAATTGGTTCCAGAGAACCCCAACCCCCCTCCCCAGCGTTTCCCATGCCCCGTCATAATTAAACTCGATCTAGGAAAGCGGTAACGTATTCCGATTGTTTTCTTGGTGCCCAATATTGTAAAATCCTGTGAGAACTTTAAAAGACTTCGTGTTGATTGTATTAGACATTAGGGCACTAAAGAATTGTTCGACGCTATTACAGAGTTGCAAGTTATATTAAAAGGCAAAATTACCGTGTCATCTATATGACATTCAGTTCTTTTCTTTTCTGAAACGCCGAGCGACGACGTATCTACAACCTCTCTATTATTGAAACTCCATGGATATATCATGTGATTTATTACCATTAAGTGAGCAGCTTATTCTATAAAGAAAATAATTTCCTTCCCGTAAGTATGTAATAAAAATAATACTTGATATATTTAAATAAAACTAATTTACGGATTTTGGCTTTGATTGCCGAGTTTTTGTCCACGGGTTCTATCATCGGGTTTTATCATATCGGAGACCATGGTCTGTCCCTTGATCGTGGATTCTGTAAAGGCAAATTGAGACTTGATTAAATTTCTCATTAATTAATTTAAAAACAAATACCAATATACATACATATGTGTAATTGAATCTTAACTTAACACTCGAGCTAAAAAAATTCTGGGAATTTTATCATCGGTTAACGAATCAATCTGCATTCTGGTCCTTTACCACAACAAAATACGAGTATCTGTGACAAAATTTGCGTGCATGCGCGCCTAGTCATGCAGTTTGCATAAATTTATATACTCGCCGTTAAATCCAACGGGTTCTACAGACTACCGCATCGAGGCGTTTTATACCTTTACATTTGTTTTAATGTACTCACCGACCGGTATGCGACTGCCGGTGTAATTAAGTCTCGAAATAATTGTTCTTTTGTTAATTAAAGCCCGCAGTTGATTTAACTTTGCTCGCTTTAAAGGAGAAAATTACATTTTTGTTGTTGAGGTTTTCTTGCGT